AGATGCTACTTCTACAAGTGGAGGGATTCATGCATCTCATAATGTGTATATATCTCCTAGGGTAAGTCACCACATATGTAACCTTTTTCATGCATTTCTACCAGTCCTATGTATACCCTTTTCAGCTTTTAAATTATGTGAAAAGTGAACCCTTTTATTTACTTTCCTCGTGTAGGATGTGGAAAAGGAGAATTATTGCAAGGAATGTCTGAATTTCATGCATTATGGCCCTAAAAATGGGATCCAATGGTTGGCATACGATTGGCTTATTTTACCCAATGTCAATAAGACAACAACAATGGGCAACATTGTGTCATGTATCCAAAATGCCTAATCAATAATGTGTAGGGTTGTCTTTTCCGAGGATTTTGAATATCCAGTCAAAATCAATTGACTATACAGATTAACAATCTCAATTATATAAGCGCCAAAAATTGAATGGGTTTTTCTTTTAGACTAGAAATTGCGAGTTCAAATCTCTCCTCCCCTCCTCCTCCCACCCCCCGGTCTTCTCTAATGTAATCGCACCCGACTCGTTAGGCCAACAATTTTACCCCCTGGCACACGGCTTACAAGTTACAAGAAGACCAAAGCAAGCTATACCATTGAATTCCAAAAGTATGATTGAGACCATAATAATCCAAGAATACTACTGGAGCTAGAGCTCTCTTGAATATGATTGATTGGAAAACATCATATCAGATATAATGTGCGCACAATATAGTACAACATTAGCATTGGTCAAATATTGAAATGTTTAATGGTTTATCAGACAAAGTTTGTGAAAATGGATACGGCTTTTACCACACCACCATATATCCATATAAACGACTAGGGCTAGAGATGAGAAGCATGCGTCTTGACTTAATTGTTTTGCTTGTCTTTCCTTCCTGTATAGCTATATAGCCATAGTTGGTGGTGATGATCGACTAGTACTCATCAGAAAGGAAAAAAAAAAAAAGAAAGGAGAAGTAAGAAGAAGATAAGAATTATCTGAAATGATTCATAATTTGCATCACATTTTTTTTATTAAAAAAAAAAAAATCATTCAAAGATGCCAATCCTGTGGCAACCTATCACTCAAAAGAATTGTGTGTGACTATAATGCCGTATCAGTTTTTTCCAGAGGCAGCAAGAAAAGAAAAGTGTCCCTTGAAATTCCATCACATGGTGGGATGGTGGACCATTTTTATTTTTTAATATTGATACTGTTATTGTTATTGTTATTATTATTATTATTGTTATCGTAGCTATAATATAGCCACAGGTATCTACTACTAAACATGCAAAAACAAATGCAATAAGAAGAGGAATTGACTGACTTTTCAAAATTTTCAGCAAACAACAAACAATCGATTTTTTTTTCTCTATTTTAAAGTGTAGTAGTAGCATAAATACGGCAGAAGGTAGACTTTGACACCACTTTTGGGGCTTGGGGAGACAATGGAGGTGGCCTTTTGTAGGGTAACAAGCATTACGCTTTAGGGCATGAGGAGTTTGACAAATTTATACCGATTCTTGTCTCTATTTGTTTACTCCATTATCTTTTTTGTATTTTTATAAAAATTAAAAAAAAAATTAAGTGTTTACAGTATTGCCAAAAAACGAACCTGCTATTGAGGAAAAAGAAAATCGTAATGAAACAAAGTATAGTAAGAGCCTATTCATGTGTTTATATAATTTTCCTTAGTACGCAGTTCCTACTCAATAATTTTATTGCAACATGAACCAAAAACAAAAGAAAAAAAAATGGACCTAAACAGTTCATATTTTTGAATTGAATAGGAAAAGTAAAATCCGAATGTGAGGAAGAGGTTTACCTAGAACTGGCCGTTCGTGAAAAGTTAATGTGTTTATTGTGCTAGAGAGAGTACTTAAGTATTAAACAGTTTTAAGTTTGTTCATTTCGTAGACGTGAGTATTAAGTAATGACGTTGCAAAATTACGATTGACGATTGTTACTGATCACTACGTCGTAAAATTATTAGTTTTTAAAAAAACAAAGAATTACAGGTGTTATAATTTCATTATCATATTGAGAAAATTACAAACGTCACTTATCACATCTTGATTCTACAGATTGTGTAAAGTTTTAATATCCATCAATCCTTTTACAAGATTCAATGATTTCATACTTAACTTCTTTCAATCAATAATATGAACCTGTACTGCGATTCCTTGTAGATGTAGAAATACTACCCATTTGATATGGAACTTTGATCTTATTCACTAAGAAATCAGAAATTTATCTTGTATTTGTAAATATATACTCACTTTACATGTTTGTTCTACGATTCTGACAAAAACAAATTAGAAAAATATTTCTCTTATAGTAAATTGTGTGTCGCCACAAGATTTAAATCACACTAATAAATCCGTCATAAACTAGGAAAAAAAACACTTATGTGCCCTTTTGATTGCTTATGTAATGACTTCCACGAGATACTCATCCTGTTTCAAAATTACTGTCTAATTTAAATTTTTATTATAATTTTACTGAAAATGAAATCTAAATTGGACAATAGTTTCGGGACGGAAGAAGTACATGTTATCGTGACTAAATCCTCCTCAGAATTCAGATCCAGAATTTAGTCTTCATTGGTGGTTTACTCTTCTTACTCCTCCAGTGGTGTGTTTGTGTATCGAACATAAACACGTAGATATGCAGACACGTAAAAGAGTAGTGGTAGAAAATTCAATGAGGCAATAATATACGCAGCAGAAATGATCTTTTTCAATTTTTTCCAATAAAACAAAAACCGACCACAATTTGGTAGCGTCTTTTACAACACCAACAATTTGGCCCACACTTTTTATGCCCCTTTTTACCCTTTAAAACTTATTAAAAAAAAAAAAAAAAGATTAGCACGGGTCGAAATAACGAAGATGGACAAAGACATTTTGACAACCACAAAGTGAAGAACTCAAACATTCCCACTCTATACTTATAAAAGATACTAAGGGAATTAAGGAAGCAAATTGTGATAGTGAAGCTACTTTCTTAATGCAAAACACGTGGAGGATTAACTCGTAATGGGTTTTCTGCACTGATCAAAATCTTATGATTATGTTAATAAATCCATAAAGGCATAAACCATAACCATAACCACAACCACAAGCTTTGATTAATTAAGATTTTGGTTTGAAGTTGAAATTTTGAAAGATACTGCGTTCAAACCTCTCTCTCTCTCCCTCCCTCTCTTTATAATGGGGTTGACATTAATTTACTACTTAAGTCTTAATTTAAATGTGTGATTTCGTACGTTAGTGTTCGACCTTTCTCCTGTTCTCTTTTGATTGTGGATTTGACCATCTCTCATTCGGTCGGTTTTCAGTTTGAATTGTTCCCCCTCTCTTTATGGGAGCATACTTAATTAGCAAATCAACGAACAGAATGCAAAACCAAAAAGGTCACAGTAAGATACTATACTTCGCCAGGGCCATATTCACATTGCTTTTCTGGATTGGAGGGTTTGCCAAAAAGGTCAACTTGGTCGACTGAGTGAAAATGAAGTAGCACGAGCAACCATGAAAACGATGTATGTTGACAGAAGTTTGAACAGCAAAAGATCTTACGCGACACTTTCAACGTTACAGTTTTTATTATACTCGATTATTTATTATCAAACGGCAATGATCATTTTGTTACCATTTTAGTGGTGTTAGTATTGATTATTACAACACTGGTCCGGTATGATGAGTGAAACACTAAAGTGTCGTGGAGCGGAGCATCTGATCTGCATTCGTACAAAAGAGTCAAAAAAGGGTTCAAAAATATCAGGGGATTAAGAGTAAGAAAAGACACAATTAGGAAGTTTAAAAAGTGTTAAGGCAACCCCAAAAGGCAAATGGACATTATAACATCAGCTCTGAAAAGAAAACTGCAAAGATTAGAGTGGCTTTCAAAGTGTTCGTGCAAAGTAGAAGATGACAAGAAAAACATCATTTCGAATTTTCAATCCATCAATTAAAACACGCAAGGATGTACAGAATTCTAGTAAAAGACACATCATAGACATGATATTTACTTTTCCATGTCGATTATATGCAGTGTAAACCAATTCAAGGAAGCAAAGGTAGCTTATTTGTTCGTCAAAGTATAACAAACAAACAAACAAAACAAAATAAGATTCATACTTTGACACGTTAAAAGTGTCTGTTTTAACAAGTACTCTCTTTGTCTCAAAATGATAGTTCATAGTGAGTATCTATCGTGCACCTTTCCCCGGTGTTAGTAAATTCGCAGATGCAAGATGCTGCAAACTAACTGAATTTTGGGTGGGGGGAAGAGGCAACAAGTCTGTACATTTATATTGATCGTCTTCAACTAGTATCCTAAGCAAATTGAACCATTGTTTCAGCCAAACAGAAAAGGAACAATCCAGGGATTCCCATTAATCATGTAGCAAGCATCCATGAAAAGTTTATATATTCATCTTACAACTGAGACAGTCAAGTTGAATTTGCAAATTTGGTGTTCAAGTAAATGAAAAACTGTAGCAATTATGAATGACAAGAAGAAACAGAAAAATAATTTAAGAACAGCTGATCAAAGGTTACATGCTATGATTCTGGATAAGAATCTAATAATGGTCATCTTACCAGATCGTACTTCTAATCATTTAGCTCGGTAATAGCATATCTAAGGAATTTCAACGCTAAAGGCTAAACATAGAATTGTAAGAAGCCAAGCAAAGAGAGGTACTAAGTGTACTACAAGCAAATTCGCCTTAATTCTCTAAGATAAGATTTCTACAAAGCCTGGCAGGCTCAGGGGAAAGACGATAGCTGCTAGTAGAATTGACCTAATCCAGCTGTCAAAATGGTCAAAGATCTACAACAAATTGATGCAACTTGAAAACCTTGAAATCACAGTGGCCACTGCTGAAATCACATGCGAACGTTATCCCCAGTTTTGTCTTAATGAGTTGGATCAACTCTTTCTACGTAAAGAAGTGGGCAAATTTTTACCAAAGTCACAGGCATCATCTCTTCCACCACTACGTGTCATTTTCTTCGTCGAGTTCTTCTTCTTCATCATCCACATCCTCAATTGGAATGTCCTCAGTATCATAATCAGGGTGACCTGATACACCACACAAAGTGGGGAACAAGACTCCAATCATGAAGCTATCAAAATAAAATAAAATAAAAACCATATAGCTCTAGACCCAAGTACTCACAAGAGGAATAATGCATATGCTGGTTGGTTCAACTTTAATCTATTCAAACACAAATTAACAGTCCATTTTACCAAAAAGGAAAAGAATTGATATAATGACATCATTGTTTGCACATTTCCAGATTAGTTTAGATGGTAGAAGGCTTTCCAGCCTTGGCGCATTTCTCAGGCCTGCTTAATAACCATAATCAAATCTGATTTTCACTTGCCAATTACAGGATTGTCAGCCCCAAAGTTAGCATGCATACGACAGACATAAAGACTGGTAAAGGACTTAATTGGCTTTCTAACAACAAACATTCTTTACTGTGAACCAGAAATATTAATCACCAAGCAGGAAAGACACTACTAGTAGAGACACTACTTCGACTTGAAAGACACCACTAGTAGAGACACTACTTTGATTAAAAAGCAACATTCCCGGGTTCAACTGAAGCAAGATTGGAGTAAAACAGAAAAGCATTATTGGTCTCAAACTGACACTCTAAAACTGGAAATTGCACCTCAGAACTAGTAGGTCTCATCAGAAAATCATGTGCTACTCCAATTATTTTCTGTTTAGATATAAAGAACTTGTTATTTTACTTCTCTAACTGAGTAACTGATGCAACACTTTCAGCACAAGATAGATGACAACATGACTCCACGGCCATAAACCAAAGATCATGACGAAAAGGAAAATTGGTAGTAAAAGTTCACAGGAAACCACAACCTAATGACAATAAGGCAAAGATAGACAAATAATTACCTCTAGAAGCCAGACTTCCTGTCTGCTCCTTTGATCGGATTGAGTAATCAAGAAGATATTCGAGTTCTAGAAGCTGTAGGAAACTTTCAGTTTGAGGATTTCTACAGTGTCCTGAATAAGAGAAAAAGGCAAAGAGGATACTATTTCAAGGGACTATTAAGCTCAAGAACAGATCAATGTAATTCCTCGTTGAACCATTTTTATGCCCACTAGTAATAAAGAATTATTTTTCAGGTTAGATCTGACCAACTAAGGCTATAAACTTCCATGGAGAGCTGTTGGAAAAATGTCAAACAAAGAATTTAGTGTTTAAAGATCATCACCAGAAAAGGACTCATTAGCAAGAGCCTGAGGATCATGACGAGGAGCTGTGCGCACAAAATCAAAAGGTTTGGCCCCTTTCGTCTGCAGTATATTTCTCACAAATCGACGGCATTGTTCTATGTTAAGCGTTGCGTCTCTGTAGCCACAAACATCGGACTTAACAGCCAGTATGGAAAAAAATGTTGGCTAACCACTGATAAATGATATACACACCTAAAGTTTACACGTTCCATCTTGAGAGGGAGAATAGCATTGAACTTCTTTGTAATCGCCAGCCACTCTTCATCATACTGGAGCTCATACGGTCCTGGCCCAGATTCAACTTCAATAATCTATAAAAGCCCTAAGTTAGTGGTCGAAGAAAGTCTGTAGTTAGAGGGCAGAAGGGTCGGTAAATATACCTGCAAGAACTTCCGACGGGGAAGGCACTTGTCTAATGCTAGAAATTTTGTAACTGGGCCGTCATCCCCATGTTGAACCAATGCAGCAAATTTGCAGTGCAAGTGTGCTGAAAACCAGTAACTAGGTCTCAATTTATCCAACAAAACTGCCGCTGGTTCACTCCCCAAAGTTCCTTCTTTAATCTGAAAAAGAACACAATTAACAAATAGCAGGGTAAGTCATTGCAGTTAGCCAGAAGAACACCCCAAAGCACATTAAACTCCAAAATAGTTTCTGCTTCATGACAAGAACTATTGAATGATATCTGGCAATGATTGGAAGCAATGTTAGCGAGGTACAAGAAAGCCACAATTTGGAAGAAGCAAGGATATAGGTAATATTTAAAACAAGATAGTCCCAATACTAACTAAGTATAAACCATATCAACCCAGCAAGTCCTCACAAAAGTGACAAATGAAGTTGTGCTTAATTAATATACATGACTACCTCTTTCTCAAAGAAGTGTTTTTGACGAAGAAGATTAGCCAGGTTCCCATGGTCAGTAATGCCTCTTGGCCAATCATGTGAGAGAAATATATCAATTGGTTCCTCAACTTGCATGAGCTTGTGAACATCATATTCACGAACATGATAAACAGAACAGATATCTTTGTGATTGTAAGGAAGCTTCTCGTAGTGCCCTGTCCACAACAAACATAATTCCATTCACCAATGCATTTGAAACATCAAACAGAACTTATAGAATCGATTTATAATCAGGACAGACTTGAAGTCCTTCAAATCATAGATACTGGGTACTAGTAGATATAAATTTCAATGTATGACTAAAAAGTGGACTATAATTGAGATCTTAAAGCTCAAACTTATTACTTCATGGAAGAAAAAGTGTCATTAGAGTTAAACAAATAAGCTTAGATATGCATTCAGAGAATGGTACCTAAGTGATAGTCATAGTTTTTATAAATTCCAGACAATCCACCAATACGAATATTTCCAAACTTGATAACTCCTGCAAACCCAAGGAAGTATATATGAGGTGCCACCCATCCTCCATAGTATCTAATAGAAGAGAAATTTACCATCAGTAAGCCAACAAAGAAGTTTTTATATGACAAATGACCTCGGCATCAAATGAGATTATCTAGCTACATATTCTCACTTTTTCACCAAACTAATAAATACCATGCCAAATCATTTCCATGAATATGCGAATAAGGCAAAACGGCTTACAAAACTATAAATTCTAGACGAGGATTTGGTCTGTACTTTGAGGCAAACATTTTCCACAAAAGGAAACCAGTAGAGTCATTCTATAATAACGCTTATATTAACAAGCATTGAAGGTGAAACATGAGAAGAACAATCTATGTCCTGGGTTTATAAAAAAAAAAGGTTATTGGTGCGTGATATTCTTACTTTATGAAATGTAATCAAAGTGCAACTAAATTCCTAGACAAATCAGCAATCAATACCAGATGGAAAAGTAGTTCCTACGCTAAAAAATTGCATATATAACTAACGCTAACTAGGTGGGAGAACATAATTGGATGAAACTCAAGACCCATATTTTTCAACTAATAGTCAGACACACAGATTTTGTGGAATACATAAGGAGAGTTCTCATCACTGCACAGTCCAATGAAAGGGAAGACGCAGGACTAGCTCAGACACAGAGACTGATACAAAAACAACAATTAGCCAACTTACAATTCCCACAAATAATTGGATGCTTCATGGTTTCCCCCAATAAATACAGTTGGAACTGGTGCAACTTTTTCCCCAGAATAGTATTTCCAGAAAGAATTCATGTTCCGGTACTTGGGAAGAACATGTAAGCTTTCTAGATCCTTTTCATTCCTGACAGCCTGCTTCCATAAAAGAATGAAGTCAATGTACCATCACGGCAGCTGGAGAGCACGCATGGGTTGCAGGTAAAAGAAAGGGGAAGGAAAAAAAAAAAAAGAACCTGAAAGTCTCCACAGCATAGGAGAAGATCAATCTTTACGTTCTCAACTTCCTGCAGATGTAATATCGTTGCATATACATTATCCAAATCTCCATGCATGCATCCTTCCACAGCTATTCTCATCTCTAAAAATCTATCATAACAACCAATTTTATATTAAAACTAATCAGTTCGCGGATGGGATTTCAATCAAAACAGCAAAGACCATTTATTCCTTACTTCTAATAGTAAGGAATTCATCACATATAATAAATATAATTTCCAGTCTAATGATTAAAAGCCCGTTTCAAGGCTAAGTTTCTCACCGGTTCTTAATGATTTTAAAAGCCTCCGTTCATTCTTAAAGTAGACAAACTAAACAATCAGTTAAGGGCTATCCAAAGCAACCCAAATGCAGTTACGAATACAAAAATTGATTGCAAAGGTGAAGCAACTAAAAACAATCTAATCTACAACGTTTAATCAAAACTCCAAGAAGAAAACCACATCAAATAAGTCAAAGCACAACCCTAAACATGTAATTATAAAAAAAAAAAAAAAAAAAAGCTCTCTATCTAATCCCAATCGAGTATTAAACAGAAAAAAAAAAGTAGCAGAAATTAAAATTATTAAATTGAATAGAGAAATTAAAATTACTTAATTTGAATAGAAGCTTGAATTACATAAAGAACCTGAGCTGCTGCGATAGAGCTCTCGACCGAGGAGAACTATAGTTGAAGAAGAGCAAGATTGGAGTTGTGAGAGCAAATCCACGGTTTCCTTTAGTCGGCATTCCTGTTATTGGGTTGGAAGAGTCAAAATGACGGGTGGATCGTGCATTTGAATATCCCAATCCAGCCTAAAAAAAAGGGCAAACTACATTTTACCCCCCGAGCTTTGACTCTTTAACAAAATACCCCTTGACTTTTGGTGATACTACATTTTTCCCCTTTGACTGGGTGAAAGAATTGGTCAATGCCGGAAATTTACAAAATGACATAAAAACCCTCAGTTATCCGGCCAAAAAATAAAAATAATACTCCCTCCGTCCCACAAAAATAGTCTAGTTTGATAAAAAAAATTTTGTCCCAAAAAAATAGTCCAGTTTCAAAAAAGTCAAAATTAGAACACATAAAATGACTTAGCTGCCCTTTTAATAAAGGAACCAAAGATTGGGGCGACAGAAACGATGTTAAGCAAAGTGAAGAGCTCCACTACAGAAGCTCCGATTCTGCTTCCAGTTCTGCGATTCAATCAGGACTCCTAATTTCAATTCTAAAGGCGATGGGGCTGGTCGACGACGGTGAAATTTTAATTCCAATCGGATACGAAGAGATGAATTTTCGTCGGTGATAGAGAAGCAGCGGTGGACAACAGAGGTTAGGAGTTAAACGCAACGGCGGTAGACGGAGGATGACGGCTACTTTTGGAAACCTTCGATGCTGCTTCTTTATTTCAAAAAAAAAATAATACTAAAAGAAAAAAAAAACTAGTGTGACCTTATCCCAAGAAGACATGAGGAAGTGATTGTTGTGATTGGAGATCAGAGGGAGGGCTAGACAGCTCCGTCCAGTCACGACTGGCGGCTGCGCTAACAACATCAATGAACAGAAATAACCAACTCCGCTGGCCCCATGAAATTAAAAGAATTTTCAATTGAGGGTAAAATTAGAAGTTTTAAGAATAAAATGAGTTGTACCTTGTTGGGGTTGACTAAATTAAAAAAGTTGTACATTTCTCGATGTTGTCGATGTTGTTGTTGCTGTTAATGAGTCGGCGATGCCGTCGCTTCCTCCATGAAATAGATGAGCTGATCAGGACAGAATGGATTCTGAATAATTGAAACCCAATGGCTGGAGCCCGGAAGCACATCGATAAAGCACCGCCAGTAAAAGAAACAAGTTTGAACCAAGTATCTCTATTCGACATCGTTATAATATATAACAACAGCTCAAATCTGTAAAATCGATGATCATTTGATAGTATGCGATGTTGAAGGTGGTGACAATGAATTAATATTGATGTGCGGAGGCGGCAGGTATTTGGGATTGGAAAATGACTAAATTTGGGTATTTTTATTAATGATGAATAATTTTTTTCTTGATAAATTTGATGAGTTTTTAAAATTATCTCATAAAATTGAATTCTATTTGTTTCTAAATCCTGTGTCATTGGCGATATTTATTTATTACTCCATTGGCATAAATTATTAAAGTACTACATATCTGTAAAAGAAAAATAATTTATAGAGTTTTTGACTATTTTCTTCACACAAAAAAAAATGGAGGTCAATTATAGTAGGGCATTTTCGTCCGTTCATTCTGACATTTAAATGATGTAAGCAGCTGATGTCATTAAGGTTTGTTTCGTTAGTCGGATCGAATGTCAAGGGGGTATTTGTAGTATATCTAAAACTCAGGGATGGATTTGTTAAGAGACCCCAAACTCGAGAGGGAATATGTAGTTCACCCCCCCCCCCCCCCAAAAAAAAGTATCCTATCAAATGGCCCATATCCAAATTAGGCACAATTCAAATCCAATAAAGTATAGAAGCTCCGGAACTCGCTTTTGCGACTGTTTCAGAAGCAAAGAACTCTAAAGTTATATTGTTGAAATCTCGACTTTAACTCTTATCAGAATTTGGCATTCTACGACTTTAATACACTTTATCGGCTCTAAGTCGTGCATAATCGTATTGATTTTAAGAATCTTAATATAATCGTTAGAATCTTTGAAAATAAAATTTTACGATTATAAGCGACTTTAAGAAATTTGACTATTTATGTGCTCGTAGATTTTTTGTTTTTATTAAAGTACACTTGTCATGTTGAAATTTTGGGACATAGGACGTTTAATTTATTGCCTACTTCATAGGTAAAAAAACAAATAATTAATTATGAATTGAAAGTTGATTCCAATACTCCATCGGGCATTATTCTGTGCCTAATAAAAATGCATTTTCTTTTTTTTTCTAATATGAAAACCCTAAGCCGCAAAATCGCAATCCAACTCTCAAATCGGCCCAACTAGAATAAATCTACTCTAAGATTTGTCTTGAACATGCAAATTTGACGGATAGGGACAATGTAATACCTCAAATGTTGAGCTTAAAAAACGCATCTTCTTTTTTTTCTAATCTGAAAACCCTAAGCCGTCAAATCGCAATCCAACTCTCAAATCGGCCCAACTAGAGTAAATCTACTCTAAGATTTGTCTTGAACATGCGAATTTTGATGGAGGGACAATGCAATACCTCAAATTTTTTAGCTTTCTTGAGGTGTCTGGTCGAAATTTGAAGGTGTCGTCGTGCTATTGAGATGATTGTGAGTATGTGTTTGTGAATTGAGACATTAGATTTTATGCATTTATTTACCAAATTGTAAATGTTGATGCGCAAAGTGCTTCAATTTAAGTAATCGTATTTGAAAAGACACGGATAGCAATAAAAATTAATTTTTAAATTACAGGTGATACTTATGATGATATAGTTATCATACCAACAAATTTGACAAAATTTTGATAGAATTTTACGATTTTGTGACTCCGGTTCTATACCTCAAAATAATTAGAAGTAGGATCCACTTTGTGAACATTGCTATGGAGGAATTGCTGACCACGTTTTGGTACATGTCTCACTAGAAATTGTGGATAACATCTAACTAAATTCTTCTCTGTATTGCAGGAAAATAAAAAATGGCTACTGATTTTTGCCGTCGGGGACTAGAGATTGTGAAAATTCAGAAATAGTAAAATCTTCAACAATAATGTTACAACAGAGAGGTCCTTGAAAATGTCGACTCTAGTAATGACCAAAGAAATAGCACATTCGAACATTTTTGCCCATAAACCTGGAAAGGATAAAAGACTTCTCTGGAAGCCACTGCCCAGTTGGGTACGTCAATTCTTCGATAACAAAAGGAATGCAGAAGCTAGTAGAGTTTTGAGAAAATTATGCCGGTGAGTGGATAATTGGTTATGCATCCAATGTGAGCTGCATTTCATGGGCTCCAAATCGCTTGGGATTCGGGCTTTCAAAAGGTTTAGTTAGAACTGGATTATGTTTAAAGTTTTCAATTGCTAAACTGCGATGACATTTCTATTGTGAATACTCATGTTTTTTGCTAGGATCAGTGAGAAGCTAAACTGGTAGGTGCCGATCGCACATATCCCTCGAAAGCAAAATATGGTACCGAATGTTTTAGCAAAATTTGATTCCTCATCCGTCCAGAAGACATGTTTTGTTAATGCCTCGCAATAAGATCCGTGATAGTCTTGAAGTGGATAAGTTATCTTTATTCCATAACTAAAGGGATATTTTGTACTAAGCCTCCAGCTTCTTATAATTTACTAATTGCTCGTCACAATTTACACTTATTTATATACTCTCGTTCCAAAATCATTGTTCAGTTTAGATTTTTTTTACTTTGAGTGCATTTGTATATTTGTACATTTGTATTAAAATTGAAAATCTAAATTGGATAATCATTTTTTGGATTGAGAGAATATCTATTTTAGTCTTTAAGTACGTTGATTTCTTTATCTTACAACCCTTAAATTATAATTAGATCTCCATCTAAAAAATTATCAATCTACGAATAAGTTTCAAATCGAAGTCATCGTGATATACAGGACAAAATAAAATCAATGAATCAAGGAAGAATATGAAAGTATAGATTCACAGAAAGACAGAAACAATACAAATAAGAAAATAATAACTATAAAATTAGAACTCTAATAAAGATAAATTGAATGACCAAGAGTGGGAGAGTTACCACCGAGACTAGATGTGTTATATCATGATACACACTATCTTTAAGCCCTTACTCTATTACAAATCTGGGTTTAAATCGCAATTTACCTTTACAGGCAACAATGTGGAAATTTACAATTGTTGCATGTTCTCTAAGAATTAAAAAAAAGTTTCAACATTTATGTCAACAAAATCTATACCATATTTACATAATTTTCGTTAAAACTCTATATATCAAATCTATCTATCTATAGTATTATATACTAAGAAAGAAACCAGAGAGAGAAAATAAAAAGAGATTTCTAAAGTGCCGCATAGGAAAAAATCTAATGTGGAATTTTCTCAAAATTTAAGCAAAAAAAGTTTTAACATTTAGCTAATAGTCCCTAGAAAAAAATAAGTTATAGCAAACTATATCACATTCACTATAATAATTATCTTAATTAATCAACATTTAATATACCCAATAATTATTGACCTCACATCTATAATTAAGGTAAAACATTAATTATAACCCAATCCCATATTTTCCACTCCAATCCCGGAGAAGATTTAATCAATTGATTTAAAGTAATTAAATGTCTCTCCACAATAATTCTCTCCACAATTAGTGATTAATCAAAACTCTACAATTTATGAAATCTGAAAAAAAAAAGTGGTAATAATGCTGATCAAAAAGTCTAAATCCATTGTCATGGAAACAAATTAATCACCATTAAATGAATGATCATTTCAAATTACTCTAGGATGGATCATTATGCGATTTTATCATCTCTTTTTTTTTACATTAGTGCATAATTAAAATTTTATCTTTAATTATCATGGGTGATCTTCGTTCTACTATTAATACCCATAATTAGTGTAAACCACAAATCAACGCAGTACATATGTCATATGGTTTGATAGTATAGTTTCAAGGTTGACACGCTACAATAACAACGGCATAGAGAAGCCACCGGCGGCTAATCAAAAAAGGTAATAAATGATGGAGGGGTACAATGCTAATTTTTGTGCTATTTATTCACTTAATCTTCCTGTTTTTCTTTTCTCATATTACTGCATATCATCTAAAAGCGGAAAAATTTTGGGTGTGGAAAATAATTCTTCATGTATAAGAATTTAAATTCTTTAATTGTTGGGACTAAAATAAAGATGCATGTTGTTGTTTTTTCGATTGACATTTTGCTTATATTTTCCGTCTGACAGATTCTAATCATTCATATGTTTTGAAGAATTCAATCAACCAAAAGGCCCAGATAACTAAAGGTACTTACCCAATTTTGTTAATTTTTTTATTTACTCAAAATTCTTTGAATAATTGTTTTAAATGGTTTTTTTTTTTTTGGTGCCTGTTATTGGATTGTGGAGATCCAATTTCATATATTTTTAATAATTTCTTTTTCATGCATCGAGTCATGACCTTGTTGTTTATATTATTCAAAATTTTAGCACTTATTATTTCACAAATTATAATTCACTTCAAAATTTTTCAAGAACGGAATCCATGTCCTCACTCCAACACTCCCGAATAACTTTTCCGCAATCATTGGACTTAATCCAGCAGGCTTCAAATCGGAAAGGCCGCTGTGGAGGGCCTTGGTTCATCCCTATGTATGATTTCGTGCTAGAGTCTAGTTGTTAATTTAATCTTTCATTGATAATTTTGTTAAGACGCTTTCATTTTGAACGGGTTTGGTACAAAAGCAGCTTTGATATTTTTTTATTCCAACAACAGGTCAAGTTATTTTTTCAACACCAGTAAAATTATATGAGTTGTTTAGGTCAATCCTGATAATGAGATTATTGTGCAGGGAAGTGAAGAGATTTCCAATTCAGACATCATTAAAGGAGTTTATTGTCAAGAATTTCCAAGAATTAGATATTACCTCGAGATAGTATTGATATAAAGCTCGACGTTGGTTTGAGATCCTTTTGTCTTTTTCTGTTTTTTAATCGTAATATCTATTTTTCTTCAGTTTTGGATTCATCTTATGTATTGTGGATGTGAAAAAAAAAAGGCCAAAATAAACATTGAATACCATTTTTTCATTAAAAAAAAAAATGATTATGAGGAGTTCTTGAAAGCACATACGGTATGAGCTATAATTAGTTCTTGGAGACATTTGTAATATACATTAATAATGAATACTATGAATGCTATTGCATAAGTCACAAGTACAATAAATCATATCAACTAAAAGTTTTTTGTATGGAATCAATTAAATTTTTGTTAAGTTTTCGATGTAGAAATAAATATTGTTCAGCTTAACATTTTATTTTTTATTCTTTTATTATATTAGTCCATGTTGATTATTTTCACATGTCCAATGGTATTGACCTAATTAGCAAAAAATAAAAGAAAACAATTTGGAATTGTTCAATATGTTCATTCTATCATTCAGATATTCCTAATAAAAAACTATATTTAAATTTATTTACCCCGCACATCGTGTGAATTTAACACTTAATATATTCAATAAAGTTTGGTTTCACAAATACTACACCAACAACATCAACACTTGGTATTTCATTAAAAAATACGTATTTCTTAAATTAATGTCTATATATGTCATTACAAAGGAAAAATTTATACAATATTTATACATAATAATCTCAAGGTCACAGCATAAGGTGAAATGACTTACTAACGAATATTATCAACGAAACTACTGCCTAACTAGCGATCACCAACAAAGCTATCGTCCTACTAACGAGCGTCACAAACAAAATAATCCCATATTCACATAGTAAATTACAATCTACTGATAGAATAATACTATCAAATAACCTCACCTTTTGAATAAATCATCACATATTAAAGTGCAAAAAAATAAATAAATAGTTTTCATGGATTGCCCTTGATAGTTTTTTATTTTACTTATCCTTTTCTTAATTGATTTTCTATATTTTCTAAAATTTTAATTTTTCAAGTAATAAAATAAATTAAGACCATGTCTAAAATATAACGTTGCATCTATATAATTTGAAACATTTAAAATATTACTCATGTCCAAAAAAAAAATGTACATATTAAGCTTTGAGATTTGTATTATTTTTCGTACTTCTCCGTTTCAAAATAAGTGTCAATCTAGAGTTTTCACACAGTTTAAGAAATTATTAAATATGGTAATCAATGCCACTAATCTTTATCTATCAGCTGCCGAAGTTAACTTTCCATATTTTCAATTTACAAAATTAACACTACCAACTTCTTTTAAGATTAAAAACTATTGACCGCTCATTTTTACTTAACTCAATAATGACACCAATCATTTTGTTACTTTTCCAAATTACAGTCTCTTCTCATCAGTATATATGACGTGGCGTATTTTCACGAGGCCAACAAATCCAGCTCATTTTAGTACTAATCAGTACAACCGGACTACTCGGCGCCTTATTTGCTTCTTCAATTCTTCTCAGTTCTTCCCCGCGGTAAAAAAAAACAAAAATATAAAAATTTCCCCCAAAAAAAGAACACAAATCCAGAAAAAGAAGAAAATTAATTCAACCACTTTCTTCATCTCTTTCTATATCTGGCGTAATTTCTTTGATTCAGCTGGGATCTCAGCTCCATTTGCACCTACGGAATTGATTTGATTTTGTTTGCGATTCTTCTTTCCCCCTTTTAATCAGTTGATGAGTGACTCATTCTTCCACTGAAGCAAGCTGCCTTGTTTTTTGGGTGGTGATCTTCGTTGAAGTTGTAAGAGTTTTGGATTATGATTCGTTTGCGGAAGTGATCCGCTTGATGCCATTTTTGAATTCAGTTCGTTGAGATGGCATCTGTGCGAAGGGCGCCGTCGCCGTACCACGATCGGCAGTACTTGAACGGCGGGAACTCGTTTTCAGCTGAACCGCCGTCTCACAAGTTGCTTCCCAACGGAAAAGCCTCATCTGCGGGTGCTGGAATCGTGAGATTCATTAGTGAAGTTTTGCTTCTGAGGAACACGCGGAAGGGGTCGATTTTGTGGAAGAAATTGGCCTATAGGTGTTTGTTGTTTTTCGCCATAGGGTTTCTCTTGGGAATGGCTCCGTTTATTGGATTGGATGATGTGAAAGACAGGGAGGATTCATTTCAACAGAGCTTGAAGCCTGTGGAAGTCGTAATTAAGGAGGATACTGTGAAGGATTTGGTGGAGGAGGAATTTGTAATGGATAGAGTTGAATTAGGTGTGGTTGATGTGAAGGAGAGATTTGATTTTGTTCCTCAGAAGTTGTTGATTGTGGTGACACCTACGTATAACAGGGCTCTTCAGGCTTACTTTCTGAATAGGTTAGGGCAGGTTTTGAGGCTGGTGCAGCCTCCATTGTTGTGGATTGTGGTGGAGATGAATGCAGCATCACTGGAGACCGCCGACATTCTGAGGAAGACTGGGGTCATGCATAGGCATTTGGTTTCAATGAAGAATCTGACGGATATAAAGGACAGGGGTGTGCATCAGAGGAACACAGCATTGGAGTATATTGAACGCCATAAGCTTGACGGGATTGTTTACTTTGCTGATGATGATAATATCTACTCCCTTGAGTTGTTTGAAAGCATGAGAAGTATCAGGTAACTCGTTTTCTGAGCACCATTTGAGGTGTTTTTTGCTGGACTCTTATTCGTATGGCTATCTGTTTGCGTTTTGTTTTTGTTCTCCTTTTTTTTTTTTTTTCCCTTTTTCTTTTTTCTGTCACATCCTTATTGTAAAAATTTGCCCCCAATTTTAATATTATATATGACTTTGTGACTGGATTAAAAACTATGTTGAGGACAAAGCTTGACATGTGGTGTTCAGGTCCTAGGATTAGGCCCTTGTGCATTGAAGTGGTAGTATTTAAGTTATAGGTGTTAGTGTTGAGTACAGATTTGGAATGCTTGTAGATGACGCCAAAAGATTATATGGAAGAATGAAGATGATTGGAGAGGGTAGTTGCCTTCATTTGCATCTTCTATGACAATGCAATTTCCTATTTTTGGTTGTTGATATGAAGTAAAAAGGAAGGAATACGTTAAATCCAGTTTTACTTGTTTAGTTTAATTAAATAGCTTTTAATTAAATTGCCTTGGAAGTCTGCAGACTTGGTGTTTTCATGTAATTTGGAAGGCTAATAGCTTCAATAAGTACACACAACTTAGAGCTAGCAGGTTTCTTTTATTATCTCTTTCTGCAGTTCATGTCCGTCGTCAACTTCTTTCCATGCCTTGGCTTATCTTTTCCTAATTTTGCGTATGTTTACTTACCTTAACTTTCACATGTTCTGTTCAGTCGTTTTGGTACTTGGCCTGTTGCTATGCTGGCTCAAAGCAAAGCCAAAGCAATATTGGAAGGTCCTGTGTGTAATGGAAGTTTAGTAATTGGTTGGCACACAAATGAGAAGAGTAAGCGACTACGTAGATTTCACGTTGACATGTCTGGATTTGCCTTCAACAGTACAATATTGTGGGATCCCAAGAGATGGCAGCGCCCAACGTACAGTAGTGTTCGGCAGTTAGATTCCGTGAAGGAAGGGTTTCAGGTATGAATTCTCTTTAAAATTTCAATTATGTTCGACTCTGCTTCATGTTGATGACGTACACTATGCCACAGATACTTTCTAAAATTTGACAAATGGCACATCCATTGTGGCTGCTTACAGGAGACTACATTTATAGAGCAAATTGTGGCGGATGAAAGTCAAATGGAAGGTATTCCTTTTGGTTGCTCAAGGATCATGAATTGGCACCTTCATATGGATGCTCGCCACCTTCTTTACCCTGCCGGGTGGATGCTTGAAAAGAATCTTGATGTTGCTCATCCAACTAACTAATGAAATATTTTGAAGGTATGTGTTAAAATTTTATTTGTTAAATGTATTTTTCGTGAACAATTAATTTTCGCTCCTGGGAAGAGATTGTTTTGATTCCTCGTTTATAACAAAGAGAAAGAAATGTGGTAATTTGTTTGAGATGGAAAACCTTCTTCAGCAAATACAGGCAGTGTACCTGTAATTAAGTTAATTTGAGCGTTTGCCTACAATCTTTGATTTATACACTAAACCCAATGTATTGGATCAATTTTGCTTGCTATTTTTGTTCTAAACTGAAACCCGTCCAAATTTAAAGGATGCAACTGTAGTGAGCCTAACAGCACCTCTTGTTTACAATATACTTGAGAACGACCCATTTGTTGCCAGGCTCAAGCCCAAGGCTTAATATGGGAGCTATTATTCCTAGTGTTGCTTCTTTTCTGATGTCAGCTTGTTATATTGTAGGAGACTTCCTTCACATGGGAGCTATGACGAACCACCAATGACCCCCCCAGAAGTCCGGTCGAGAAGTAGATCTTGTTTAGTTGTTTGTATATCTTTTTGAATATGATAAAGAGCAGAGGATGATAATACATTGAAAATGGCGGATGAACATTGTAATTTGTAAGCTAGGGAATACCAAGTTAGATGTTTGGAATGCAACAAGAAAGAGAAACGCTGCTGACTATACCTACGACATGGAAAGTAGTTTTGCTGTTAGTAGCTTTGGATTCTATTTCAACTTGGACCTCGGATGCACTTTGAGTTAGGAACAAAAATTAGGTAGAAAAAAGTAAGACTGCTAATTCGGTCGGTTCGGTTCAGTTCGGGTGAATTCGATTTTGGTTAATTAGATTTTTTTCTTTCGTAAGACTCGTTCGAAATTGAACCGAAGATTTTGTATCTCCGAACCAGACTGAACCGAATGAACAATTGGGTTAATCGGTTTGGGTTTTGGAACCGAATCCCTGCGTGATCTTGACCGATCTTGACCTTTAAACCATCAAAGTACAAACCAAACTTCAAATCTACTAATTCAAGTCATTCATTTGAAGGAAAAATATCAGTTTCGACATTCGAAGTTCAAAGTTAAAAATCAAACTATAAGCTCTGAAGTCCACAACAAATTCAAGGGTTTCAACTTAAAGATTCTTTAAGAATTTATAAAACACAAAAACACTAGTAACACAACAGTCAACAGGCTTAACACTTCAAGCCACTTCAGAAATTCAACATTTCAACTTCACCACACGCTACTTTAGCAGAAATTTTTTTTTTTAAAAAAAAAAATACAGAAATTCTAACTCCAATCTTGGCAGCTTCATTCACCTTCAGTCTTGAACAAAACTTCAGAATCGAAATAGCTGGAGAAAATAGAGCAGTAAGGATTCGAAGGCGGCGGAGCAGATCTGGTTTGCATAAGGAGAAATTTAATTTCAATGCACTTGCTTGTTTTGTATCTTTCCTTAGCTGTTTTCTTAGAACTTTTCGTTAACCCTATGCAATGTAGACGTTCTTGTGGTTTAGTTAAGAAGGGATATGAAATCCATGGAGATATCAATTTATAAGCTGTGTTAGTCGGTCCATTATCTGTATGTGCACTGTGATTTCACTTGGTTGGGTTTTGATTTTAAGCAAAGGGGGTCGAAGCCGAGTTGGCCATGCCCTGGTCATTAATTTCGAGTCTGGTTTCTAGGCCAGGCTCCATAATAATACACAGAATTTATATCGCGGGACACATGAGGTTGTAGATATTATAGGAAGGATTAGAAATATGAATTTAGAGGAGGGAAAAAGAAGAACAGAAAAGTAGTGTAACAAGAAAATTCTGAAAATGAATATGTACTTGGTCCATAAATCCTGCCTCAGAGGTTTGAAGAACTGATACATTGAGATTGAGTATCAATTCTCCACATCACTTTCATGATTTCATATCGAAAGTGGATATCTTAAGTTTATTTGCAAGACCCTGAAAGAGGAAGATAAATTGAGAAAAGAACCCCCCCCACGTCTTTGGAGAGAGTATCTACATCAATCCTTTTCTGACATTGAGAAAATTGGACAGTTCTTCCATTAACAAAAAAAAATTAAGTTTTTTTTAACCACAAATTCAACTTGTTAGATTCATGATTGACGACAATGTTGCTGTATGTTGAAATTTACTGTCCTGTTCTTATCAAAAATAGAACCGGAAGGAGCATCAGTATCCCAGTGTCATTTTATCAATGTACTCCTAATATATTAACGAATGATTTGTAATACTCTCTCTGTCAAAAAATAAAAATAAAAATAGTTCATATTGAATTTTAAAATTTATACTAAAAATGGTACACACATGAGAACTCAATACGGATTTTTTTTTTTTTTGAAACAGAGGTAATAATAATAATAATAATAATAATATAGCTAATGTTGAATCTTTATAATATCGGAGTTTTGGACTTAGGGATCAAATAAGCCTTGCCATAATTATTTAAACTAAAGATTGCGCTAAACAATAAGGCATTTAATACACATTTCGTGTGCAGAAAGAAGAAGAAGAAGATTCCCTTTGCCAGCAGCTGCCTTCCTAATTTTGTCTATTTCTTGTTGTGTTTTGAGTCCAATTGTACAAACTTTGAGCTGGATTTCTCCAATTGTCTCTGATCTAATTTTTATGTGCTTAAAAAAAAAAAAAAAGAAAAGAAAAACTAGTCAATTTCGGAATGAAGCAATGATGAATCAGAATTGCCGTTAAGTTGAAGATTATTATAGTATTATACAGCCATCACTTTTGTTCAAAACTCGTCAGCTGAGCTCAGACCAATTAGCCGAGCTGGAAATAATATTATTATTATTATTATTTTTAACAATATAAGTACTCCTATGTGAAAACAAGAATTGAAAAGAAATCCAATTTAAGTTCATTTTTTTCTGAGTTAAACTATTCTTTTGCTCCATTCCATCGTCCCACAATCAGTCTGCCGGATCTCTCTCATTATTCCCAGCTCAAGAAATTTTTTTTATTATTATTTTTTTTTTAAGGAAGAAGAAAGATCTGGGTGGATCTCAGCTCAGCTACGAAGCTTAACTCACCTCCATTATTGCTTTGCTGGATTGTCCTAGATTCAAAGAAAAACCTCGTTTTTCACGAAGTTCTGTGTGTTGAACTGGTTTGGAGTTTTTGAGTTTGTTAGTGTTTCTTGTATAGCTTCAGCTGGCTGATTTGTGGGGGGTTTTTTTGGTCGGGGAAATTTTGAGTAATTTTATTTATGCAACGAAGTTCTTCAGCTGCTTTTGCTGTTAATTTAAGTTTTAAAGTTTGATGCATAAATGTCATCGCCTTTGAGGACCCTTTCTCCGTACAACGACCGGATTCACCAGAACGGCGTCCAATCTCCGTCTCAAAGGGCGTTGTCCAACGGCAAAGTCTCTTCTCCTTTATCGCCGTACATTGCCGGAGTTTTTCCTTCTCAGAAAAATCCGCGGAAAAACTTGGTTTCATGGAAGAAATGGTTCGTCAGATGCTTCGTTTTTTTCTCTCTGGGTTTTCTCTTAGGTATGTCTCCTTTTGGTGAAGTTGAAGTTGTTAGAGATTTCTCGTTTGAGGAGAATTTTGTTCCTAAAAAGATGGAAAATGTCGGGGCGGAGGGAAATGAAAAGGATGTGGTTAAAAGTGTGGAAGATGATTTTGTGGTGGATAAGGTTGAATTAGGGGTTGCTGATTCGAAAGATGTAGAAGAAAGGTTTGATTTTGTTCCGAGGAAACAATTGATTGTAGTGACACCGACATTCAGTAGGCCGGTTCAGGGTTATTATTTGAACAGATTAGGGCAGGTTCTGAGGCTGGTTCCTCCGCCATTGTTGTGGATTGTGGTGGAGATGAATGTTGCTTCAATGGAGACTGCTGATATGTTGAGGAAAACCCGAGTTATGTACAGGCATTTAGTGGCCGTGAAGAATTTGACGGATGTCAAGGATAGGAATGTGCATCTAGTCAACAGGGCTTTGGAGCATATTGAGCATCACAAGCTCGATGGGATTGTTTATTTTGCGGGTGACGATAGTGTACATTCGCTCGAGTTGTTCGAAGCCATTCGAGGAATCAGGTAACTGGCATTCAATTTCTGATGATGCTTCATATTGGACATGTTTTAAGTTTTGGTTTCATTATGTTTTTGCTTTCTGCCGGCTTTGATTTCTTGGCAATTCAGTAAGTGCTAGATATGCCTATGTGGGGATCAACATTCCATTGTTCTTCTGAGAGAAAAGCTTTCTCAATGTTTTATTGTGTTTTATCTTGCCTGATCATATCTACTTCTTGAAGCTATGAATGAATTTTAAGCAATATTCTTATTTTTGTGTACTTTATCTATTCTCCAATACAGTCGTTTCGGTACTTGGCCTGTTGGGATCCTGAGCGAATATGACTATAAAAGAATGTTGGAAGGTCCCGTGTGCAATGGAAGTCAAGTACTTGGATGGCATACGAATGAGAAGAGTGGACGCCGGAGATTCCAGATTGACTTGTCAGGCTTTGCTTTCAATAGTACAATACTGTGGGATCCAAAGAGATGGCAACGACCAATTTCAGAACCAATTCGCCTATCAGATTCTGTCAAGAAGGGGTTTCGGGTATGCAGTATGTTTTGCATTTTAAGTTATGCACCTTGACATGGCATTGATTTCATTCAAAACCTTGAGTCCAAGCATTAACCACTGTACCAAATCCCATAACCTGTTCTGGATATTTTCAGGAATCAATTTTTGTTGAGCAAATAGTAGAAGATGAAAGTCAAATGGAAGGCATTCCTCATAGTTGTTCAAAGATATTGAATTGGCACTTTGTTTTGGAAGCTCAGGAAGTCGCTGATCTAAAACCGTTGCTGATTCAGAACATTCTTGATCTGGTTCCCCCCAACTAATTGATGCAGTTTGCATAGAATATATTAACAATGGTATGCACTGCACTTCTTTATACTGCATTGGTCATTTTTAGAATAATTGAGAAATGGTAATATGGTCTTACCTTTTGAGAAGCTAAACATAAAATTCTCGGTGACAAGTACACATGAATGCTTAACTTGAAAGAGCCAAAATCAAACAAGAATATTTTGTAGTTTGCTCTCCATTAGGTTATCGGAATTATTTCACTCCCCTTTGCTGCTGGTATCTTGTTCTTAATCCTATTGGGCATATGGATGCTCACACTGCTTTCTTACACTCATGCTAGTGTATTCCATGGGGGTGAAGGAACTCCATGTTGCAATTGTTAACACCTGTAGAGTCAGCATTCCTGGCGCTCTTTTGGCAGTCATCATGGTCAGACGTCGGGAAATTTTGTTGGTAGATCTTTTACCTTTGATGCCATATTTAGTAAATAGCCAAACAAAACTCCACAAAGGTGGGTTGAAGATATTCTTTAGCAAAAGCGTAGCACTTATGTAACAATGCGGTTTTGTTTTCCTAGTTGATTTTTTGGGCAAACAAAGTTCCAGGTTGTATTACCCACGTTTGGAAAATGTTGGCCCCATCATACTCTCTTTACGTATCTGCAAAGTGCGATCTATGAATGTTAACCTTGTTACTATGTCTTAGTGTATTAGACCACCATATTATATCTTAATACCAGTTGGCAGTTGTATTTCTTCATTGACCGGGGTTGAAGTAATTCTACCTAATTCTTTTCGGATGAATTCTCGAAGGAATTACAGAAAAGGTGATTCACAATCACAACGTTCTGCTCATCTTTTCCTTTTTTCTATTTGCATATTTGCTGATGTGGTTCGCTGCTTTTTGGGAATGAAATCATGAAAGTTATAAAGAAAATTTTTGTATCCAACTATAACCATTCACACCTCAAGATGTTAAACGGAAAAGGGGACAAATATGATTTTAGTGCCGCAATTTGTGAATTTGCATACAATAGGAACAAAATTTTGTTTTCATTTCATTGTTGGTTTCGATTATGATTTTTTTTTGCCCTGTTATTTCTATTGATTTACTTTAAGAAAAGCCGAATACAACTAATCTATTGAACATAGACGAAAACAACATGAAGCAAAATCTATTTTACATCTGCTGTTTAGCGCAGCAGTTCGAACTCCTCAAACTCAACGCCCAATCTATTTTACATCCTGCTCAAAGGTGCTGAGTTGCTTCCGCATATTCGATCTCTTTCTGTGTGGGAGTGAAAATCTTCCACACCCAGAAGGATCAGGGCTGCGAATTGAACTGGCAGATATTAAATGGGGATTCAAAAATCCAGTTCAACCAACCTAGCTCTCCTTGGGACTGGCATCCTCAAAATATTCGATAACGGATGCAGAGCAGAAAATTTTTGCCTGACTCTTGTACATTCTTTTGTCACGTATGCATTGTCCCCTGTAGGGAAGGTTTTCCGTCAGGGGCATGGATTTAAGACGCTGGATGTGATTGCTGCTGCATATTTGATTCATTTAGGAGTCCGAGAAGTCCGAGTATTGGTCTGCAACAAGAAAAATACAATGTGAATCTTTTCATGGACAAGAGAATTGCAAAATAGCACGATGGTCCTGGGCAAGAAAAAAGATCAACCACGTACGATGATGACAAACGGCAGCCATGGGTATCAAAAATGAAATTGCGGATAGTTTCAGCTGCGTAAATGACAACTAGGAAAAGGAAATCAGCTAACATCACTACTTGCATTTAATTAATTCAACAAATGATAATCAAAGAATTATTGATGAACACCCATCCAGATGAAGTTTATTTGAAGTTAGTTTCCAAATTCTTGGAAGTTTTAGGACAGGAAATAGTTACAATTATATAAGTTTAACATTTAATATCGGTATCATATCGGCAGAAGAATATGTTCAACTATGTAGTCTAACACATTGTAAACATTATAGTGGATACAACAACCACAGCCAAAATAACATACCCAGCATGATCCCAACTTCATTGGGCTCTGGCGGGTGAAGATGTATGGGGATAAAATCGTGAAATACTCAACAAGTATGAGTAGCATCTTCAAGTTTTTGGACACAGAGACGTATGATTTAGGTTCAAGAACACCCCTTACCTAGATAATGAATTTCTAACACTAGGCTGGCCAGCATAATTAGCTAGGGGCCCTCGGAGATGTGGGTATTTGCTCAAAGCACTTTCCAATTGAGGGGATGGTAACTGCAGGTGAGACATAGAAAACAATTAAAACGGCATCTGGAGGATCACAATATACTCTCTCAGATCAATGTAACAAAATATAAATAACTGAACCTGCAGTAATACGGGGAAGGAATGTGGTTGTGTTTGTGACACACATTTCAAAAATCCAACCCATAACTTTGGCATTCTCCAAACCTGCAAATAAAATGCACAAAATTGTCAACTTCCAGTCCAAGAAACAAACTGTAATTCTACTCAGAAGAACAAGCAGAAAGCTTCTGCCGCACATGGGGCCTCTTTAATAATTTGAAGCAATATAGATAAGATGCATACCTGTCTGCTCACAAGTTTGGACAGTAATTCCATAACAAAATCAACCTACATATGACGTAAAAAAGATGCAATTAGCTAGCATTCTCATTGGTTGTATAAGTATGATATAAGTATAATCCATTATTAGAACAGAGTGAGCAGATGATGGTATATTTGGCCTACTTCACAGCCTCATTTGAAAAATATCGAGTAGTGCTTCTTGTTACAGGTAAGATGAAAAACTAACCCTAAACCCTAAAAGTTCTTACAAATTGCAGAAAATCGTAGCAATTGTTAGCTTGTATACAGTACGACAAGTTACTTTAAACACTGGCTGTTCAAGGGAATTTTTTATGCAGGAAAAAAATAAGAATTAGGGTTTAAGAATTATTAGGAAATTTTAATTTAGGGAGGTTTTAGTCTTTTACAGAATTTTAAGTCTTTTTAGATATTTTCCTTTTTTAAGGTTAGGGTTTTATTATAAATAGGAGTTAATTGTACGTTTGGGGACAGTTTTTATGATATTTGATAATTAAGTTTCAGAACTGCGAGTTCTCTTTTCACGGCTGAGTGCCTGTGTTATGGTTTTTATTGGTTTTTGTCTAAAAACCATTGCCTTTGTTCATGGTGATCATGAATCAAAGTGGTATTCCTTCTTTTCATGCTTCCGCCCGCATCAATTTTATTTTCATTTCCATCCAAGGTTGTACTTACTAATAGTCCATACCACCAAAGAAAGGAAGCCAAAGTTTAATTTTCATAACACCAAAGAAATAAAGTGCTTCTTTTCAATAAACTGTCAAGCTCTGAATACAACATTATTACGACATGCGATTTCGCGATAAAAGAGATAAAAAGCACTAAAAAAACATGCCGTTGAATTAGTAATCCTCAGGCCGTTATGGCACGACTTATTTGTCCTCAGGCACGACTTATTTGTCAATAAGTTGACCTCCATCCAAAGTGTATACATGCCGTTGAATTTATTTATTTATTTTTCAAAAAAAAGGGAGTTCGTGCACGGCAGAGCCTATCCAGGTTCTTGATGGATTGAGCCGTTATGGCCTTTAATGTGTAAGAAAGCTATGGAATAATCTTTTCACAAACATTCATTGTCAAATCAGAGAGGGTTAGGGTTAATCCTTGAAGCTTGTTATGAGATACATTGTCAGAGTTGAGTTCAAGTAGTGATGGGAATCTTTTTTGAAATTGTGACTTATTTCTTTTCAAAAGCATGTATTATGAGGAACTCGAATACAACCCAAAAACAAAAGCTTTCCCAGTTAGATACTACATCAATAGTCAACATAGAATAAATCTTAAGAGAACAAGCATGTTTACCAGGGCAGGGAAAGCATCAGTTGTCTGAATCACAGTTCTCATGAACAGAAGTGGTAAAGGAGTTCGATCGACCTATATCGATAAAAGCACGAGTGAAACAATATAGTAGCCACAAGAGCTATGTATCTACAAGAGAAACAATTATTATACCATCTGACGTAAGGCCCTTGCCATGACCTGTTGTGTAAAAACTGTCCGCTGTTCGAAACATACTGAGCAAGCATCTGTTATCTGAAAGCAAAGGAGAAATAATGCAACCATTACAAGGACGGAACTTATCGTAAACCATGCCAATCAGACAGAATTTATTGCCCTATATTTCGTTACACATGCACGCATAGAAAAGACATTCCATAATTACAACTTTGAACCAGAAGCGGATAATTATAAGAAAACTTCAATAGTATTACTTCCCACTTTACATCTTACTATAATCATCTTTGGGCATCATCAGAGCAGAAGATATACCTTCTTAAGCGGGAGGTGATCTCTGTCAGGATTAATGTCATGTATTGCCACCATCACTTCTGCTGGAGTCAATGCTGGCCCAGAATGTGCAGAACCCTACCAACATATATTAAAATTAGAAAGTTCTTGGACCTCACCAGAAGAAACTAAAAGGCAATCAAGGACTTCAAGGAATCGTAGACGTTTCAAAGAGCTATCACTAAAATTTAGGTTAGGCATGCCATCAGTTGGAAAGAAAATACACAGGCAAATTAAGAGAAAGTTCCAAGTGAATCTTCAGCTATCAATTACAAAGATGAATCAAGTGATTTGTCTCACATCTCGAGTAAAGAAACATTTATTAGCAAGACAAATCGTTCCCATTAATAGCTGAATTCAGCTTAGAAGTTAATAAGGACTGCAGATACACTTATAACCCTAAGTTCCATTTAAGGGGATTAAAATTTAGTGAACAAGAGAGGCACAAGAGTAAACTAAATTTAAGTAGTACATTTGAGAACTCTTTTATACAAAATTTACCATAAAACTATTATGTGCCTTCAAAGTAGTTATTTCCATTTGAGTTTTCAACAAATCGATGGGTTTTTATGGGGTCTTTTAACTTTCTGATTGTTGACTGAGTAATGAAGTTAGGGGGACAGATGAGGTACCCAAGCTGCATAAGGAGAACAATAACAGGAATTATTTGAAAGAGATTAATTTTAAGGATATCTAGACAAAATAAAGTCAAAAGAGAACAAAAAAGGGAGAAGAAAAGATAATTGCCATTCAGTAAGACAAAAGCCATATAAACATATACCAGGAAAAATGAAGAGGGAAAATGACAGCAAAAAGTAAACAGTACCTGTAGTATGTGAGCCAGTGCTGTCTGAAACTTATCCAACGGAAGGTTGACCAATTGGGGAAAGATAGGTAAGACCTGATAACGAAGAAAAGATTGAGTGCCAATCCCAGAGTAACAAAATGGTGTTGGATGTAAAAGTTCGGATGTTACACCTAAGCTTATCTTTTTTCCCCCCTTCACCAAAGCCTATCTATATTCATGCACTCCCTCATAATATGTACTATAAAACCTTGAAAGAATGTTCACAAATTATGAACCAAACAACCACCAAACAAGAATGAGAGAAGAACTAAATCGAGGTCACCCCTGATATTAAAGTTGCTGCTGGAAAAGGTCGATTTTGGAAAGGAAGGATGAGCATCCACAACTCCTACTACACAATCATTCCCAAATGATGCACAAAATTTAAAAGCAAGAAAACTTTATGCATAAACATAGGCTAAGTTGACAACATCCAAGGTAAATTGTGTTCCCAAAGTTAATGCCATAAAACCCTTCCCGGAAACTAGAATAGGAGTTAGATTTTCGTGAAAATCTTGTGAGAGGGAACTAACAAGAGCTAGAAGGCACAAAAAAGGAAATTTCATGCATTATTGGTAATCATCACGATCCCTATTTGATATCAGAGCTGACCACATCATGGGAACAAGGCTCAATTGTTTTTGTACGGGAACATTACTTTCTTGGAAGCATAAAAGATAAATCACACAGAGCTACTATCAAGTGCTGAAAGGCACCAAAAAATAGGGAGTAAAATAAATTAACCCAAGGAAAAAGAATACTTAAAAAAGCAACAGTTAGAGAATCCACTGCAAAGATTACTTATAAGTATTCAATATCTCCAACTTCCCAGAATTCATACACAAAAACTACACTAAATTACCTCATTTTTGGAAAATGAAGAAAGAATCGGTATAAGGATAGAAGGATCCTGCAAAAGGATGAAATGTATTAAGATCAAACCCCAGACGTGATATTGCAACTCAATTTATAGACATACGTAAACACGCTAAAAGGAATATTTGTGCAAGAACCTTCAGCTTCGTTTCATATAAATGTTTAACAGTGTGTACGAGATTAGGTGGAGGCGTAGTCCCTTCAGATAGAATATGCAGCATCTGCAGTTATAATAGCAAGTAAGAGTTATTTTAAGGACGTAGATTTAAGGAAAATAAACCTTCAAGGCGTACAGGCCATCAAGAGAATTAAAACATACCTGTGCCAAAAGACTTTCACTGCCAGGAGGTGGATCAGATATTATTTGAAGCAAATCTGAATAACAGGGCCGAAGAGCCCTTGTCAGAAGAGGAATTTGACGATGCATGTCCTGCAGTGACCAATTTGGTGCATGGAAGTTGTTGGCAAACAAAACCAGGAGAAAGTGATTAGAACCGATATATGAAAATAGAGAAGGAAAAATCAAGAAGAAGAAACAGCATCGGCACTAGAAATCTTGCTCATAATAAGTCAGCGCCTAACCAAAAGACAGATTGAAGTCCTCAACCATCAGAAGGTCTGGTGCACCGAAAGTATGTGTTTTAAATAGGTATGATGAAGATCATACTACCTCTAAACAAAGAAACTGGACTAAATAGGGTGTAAAAAATCAATCTATCAATAAAACTTCTTTAACAGATCTAGAAATGCTCAGTAACAGATATTTAAATATGCTTAAACCTATGTAAAATTTATACTGAACTATTTTTCACCACAAACAAAGTGAAAGTGCCTAATGACATCAGCGGCTAACTATTTAATCTCCCTTTTATTGATGAATTCATAACAGGTCATGCATTGACTTAATAATCTGAATGACAGGCTCCTACACTATTCTGGAAAAAATGACAGACTCCAGTGGTTCTAGTAGATCTAAACTATATACGAGCATATCCTTCTTTCACACTCTTCATATAAAAGAATGCCTACATCCTCATGATACACTATATTCATACACAAGAATGCCAATTCAGGGGGCATCAGCTAATCAAAGCATCCCACTGAGCGTGACACAGACATGATAAACAGCATGATTTCAGCTTCTTTAGCACATAGGGTGAAGATCTAATTGCAAAGCAGTAAGCAAACAAATAAACCAGTAAAAACTAACCTGCTGAACAGCTTTGGGAGAACGCTCATAATTTTCGAATAAGATTCGTAGGAGACTGGGTTTCTGCAAACAAATACAAGAAGGGAAAGCAACCAGTAAGGAATGATGGCAGTACAAAGAATTGTCCAGGTGCCTGGAGTGAAAATACAAATATGGTCCTTCAACTTCTGATCACAAAAAGTCCAAGGATTAGAAAAGAAATGCATCAACCTGTGTGATTAAGGCAAAAAATAGGGAGGCATGCTGGAGAACATCTATCTCTGCACCTTTAGTGGAGTCATTTTCAGATAAACCTGTTTCTGAAACCTGGGAACCACTAACCGATGTTTCATGGCTTCCAGTCTGTAAATTAAACATGAAAAGAAGAGAACTTCTAAGGGGCCGAAATAGCATGATGAATTGAAAAATATTGTACACATTCCAAGGCTAATCTTAGTTTCAAAATAAATTAAGGAAAAACAGTTCCCACAAAGAAAAGCAAAATTCTCAATTACTCACAACTATAACCATACAGATGCAAACAGCATGGATGTAAACAACATTCAAAATATAGCTGGGAGTAAAAGAACATGGCTATAATAATGGCATAGTCAGCAAACAAAGGGTAAAATAGTGATTAAAAATGTGTTTTAGTCTAAAGATAATTGTGACACTGTGATGAAAACACGGGACTACAGACACACGTAAACAATAATTCCATAACTAATTTCCAACCATTCGATGACAATGATGTGTGCTTAAGCAAACTAGGCCACAACAGCCCTGAATACCAAAGAAGAAGATTCTAAGAAAAAACCATGTTACATTTCTTTTGAAAACATCTGCGGTTTACTGGGAGAACAGAATCTTTATATACATAACCAACATTTTACAGCTACGAATTGGCATAGTCAGTGATTTAACCTCAAACATATTTCAATTTCACAATTACAACCCAAGGAGAAAGTAAAGTGCAAATTTTATTGGTCTTTACATCATTCTTCTTGTTTCATCTTAGAAAGGAAGAAACTTGAGAGATCTAAACAACCAAATTCGCACCTCGCGTTTAGTTTTCTGCTCAATTGTTTCAGACTGAGAAGGCTCTATATCAGGAGCACGTTGATCTACGACTGACAAGAACATTTTCATAGCAAACTGTTCGATATTCTCTGAGATGTAGCCTACTTTATAAAGTTTTTTAGCCACCTGCAAGTGAAGCATTCACATACAAATCAAAAAACACAGATGAACAAGAAAATTGTGAACCATCATTGAACTAATCCTTCATCAAAACTATCCAACAAAAGGATTATTTTTTAAGGAAATGCAACAGTAAAACAAGTTTTAACATTCTATTCCGAAGATGAAACAAGCATTGCAATTACACATACCAGATTGATTGCTTTTACTCGGACATTTTCCTTCGGATGTACAGCACACTGCCCACCAAAAATGAGTCAGCCACAGAATGTACATATATATATGTACCACGGACTAATGAAAAGCAAATGAACTTTTACACAGCATCCAATAAATCAAGGTGATGTAAAAAGATAATATCAACCAAAACAGGAGGAGGTTAGGATGGAGAGGGTAAAGTACCACCGACGAAAAAACAAAATAGATGTCTGACGTGGTAATAAACAATCTATCCTCACGGCAAAAACTACTCTCCTCGATCTTTATTAAAAATTGAAAAACCCTCACTCATAAACTTTAGGATATAAAGTTCTCTCAAAATTTTGATATTCTACTACAAACGAAAGGTTGAGCTTTGTGTTCCCAGGCTACCTGGAACATTGATCAAGAAAAACGGCTTCATCCTATATGTTTCCAACTTTTTATATTCAAACTAATTACAGTAATTTGTTTGGTGGAAAAAAAAAAAAAGAGAAAGAAAAATCAACAATCAACAGGAATATGCAATATCGATGTTAAGTAGAACTTATATGTTGCAATAGTAAGTCCTATACGAGGAAAAACAACAGCAATCAACAAAGCAAAGACTGTAACAAGGTGTTCCTGATAAGTAGCATAAATAACTAGCTTGCACTAAAAAATATCTATAGCCTTATTATTGTAAGTCATCACCCTTCTAGTGAACCATTATTACAAGTCATGGCCCTCAAGCTGCATGTCCCGCTCACACAGGTAAAAGAAAATAGCCCCATATATTTTCTTCTTATTTGGGACTAGGACTGATGACAAGAGTGAAAGCCTCTACACAAAGTATTGTCTTTCCTATATATAATCTGCATTTAATAAATAAATCTTGCATATGACCAAGTAAACCTTTTAGTTTAAAGGCTTTGCTTATTGCAATTACACGACCCCAAGACCCAATTAACCACCAGTGACAGCTCTCTTCCGTTATTAGATCACAACGAATTCCTCAGTGGGTCCGTCAAGTTTTCAGGAGGGATTATGCCTACAGATAGTCAATTTACCTTTAGTGCAATATCCAAGCAGCCTTGACGATTGAGAGGGCGTGAAGCAATTAAGCTCCAAAGAGCACCAAGACCCTGAGTGACACGGTCACCATCACCAGTATCTGTACCAATGTATTTATCACAGCACAAATCATCCAGAAGTCTCATAATGGCCTTTGTCAGGAAAGGAACTTCTCGGAGAAGCTGACTAAAAGACTTATCAGTTGAAGGTAAAATGTCCAGCAAGGACTTTGCCTACAAAAACAAGCTTGTATTAGATGTTTCCACTTTTCACCATACAGGAATAGGCCAGTTAAGGTCATTCTTACCATTCCCAGCAGGAAATTCTCATACATAGCAGCAAACAATGTTGAGTTTCCTTCCGAGCCTGATAACATTAGAGAATGTAGGTGGAAAAGAACATACACCACAAGTTCATGTCCCTGAGGAAAAAATCAAAGTTATCAGAAAAACCAGCACAGCAGATTAGATTCAGTAAATGGAAGCTTTGAAAATTGCCATCACAGAGGCTAAAACATTACAAGACTGCACTTCTTATTTAATTTAGAAACAGAAGATATGATTGGAGGAAGAGGGCATTCAATACAAATGTCAAATACCTCTTCATGGTGGTAGCGAAAAGCCAGGTGCCTTTGCATTTCGGTAATAGCATCATCACCAGCATCAATCTATTAAAGAGGAAAAAAAAAAAGAACATGCAAAACAAGGAAACATTATATTAGGCAGGGCAAAAGATGAGCCAAATTTTATCTTACAATTAGCAAAACATTGTCAATAACAACTAAGCTGTTACCTTTGCTATGCAATCTGACAAAATAATTTTATTTTTTTTTTTGATGAAAGGTAAATTGTATTACTTCTCAACAAACAGTCCATATTTTACACCCTATATCTTCTATTACAATCTCCTGTCTCTGTTTAACAACCCAAACCTAATTTCTGTACAAACATGTGATTTGAGATAAAAGAAAAATGCCGTTTCTTTTCCAGTGAGTTGTTCCCAAGTCTTCTCCTGTGTTCCCATTCCCTATCATCTCTTAGTAGTAATTTTCTATCATATAAGGCTGTACTGATGCATCTAAAAGGCTCATAGGACATGTTCAAACCAAATTATAGGGTTTATATAGTTTTCTCATCTAATAGGGCAACCTCCACTCTTCACATGAGTTTTCTTACGTATTCTAAGTAGTCGATCGTTGCCAATGAACTCAGTCTCACTCATTGCTTGACCTTTCGAACAAGATCAGTTCCAATTGACTAAGAAAGACGTAAGAAATATGATATAGGCTAGCCTCACTTGATTCTTGCTGAACATAATGGAGATTGACGATGACATATGCAATTCGTCCAGTAGTTGAAGCTTTACATAATAATGTAAGAAACATCCACTAGCTGAAGGTCCCAAAAAAGCTAAAATAAAAAACTCAATCAAGCACCGAAAAATAACAATGGGAAGTAAACTTAGGAGATGAATCGGTACTTGGTTTTTTGTAGAAACCTTCATTAACTTAGGCCCTGATTTAAAAATAAAGCAAGTATTCAACTATAGCTGTGGCCATAGTTTCTGACCATGAATATCGAGAAGAGACTGTTGTACTACAAACAAAATTATATACGTGACCCACCTTAGCCACCAACCGTGCCAGCAACGCCATGCGCATTTCTTTGCTGCCTGGATCTCGTAAATTATCGTATGAGTCAAAAATTCGTCTAAATGCCAATGTCTGCAGACTACTTTGCTTTCCCTCATTTAAGTCAATATATGCGGGAAGTGCAGGCAACTCTGCATTTGAAGCTTCGGTGCATTCCATGTCAGAGACATCAGGAGAGATTTCATCTGTCTCGAGCGAAGATGGGGAGTAAACGTCTGTGGATAAAAAGCCTTGCGATGTCTGTGCAGCTGAATCTTGCACACTTTCACCTGGGTGGAAGGATGGATCCAAAGCACCTTTTGTTTCTTGTAAGGCTTCAACCCGAACTTCCACTGGAGTAGCTGATTGAGATGCAGGCGCACATTCTGGACTGGTCAAGCCAACTTCAGTCTTAGGTGTCAATGGAACCAGCAAACTATCAGAACTTGGAACTCCTGGAGGTGAAGGGGGCTTAACAAGAGAACTAGGAGAATCTACATGATATTGCATTTCAGCAGTTTGAGAAGCATTTGTGATGTTCTCAGCAGGAGGAGGAGGTGGTAGACCAACAGCTGCCACGCTACGCCTAGGGTCAAGACGGCGAGGATCCTGTTGAAGCCACCAATGTACAGCAAGTAACCTGTTACTAAATTAAAGAACTGACAGATAAGTTAAAATAAAGCTGAAGACAATGGTAGGAGGATGAACATAGAAAATAAGCATACTCTTCGTTGATCACGCTTTGAATCAGAGGAGAGATTGTTTGAGGCAGACATATCAAACACTGGAGAGCCAGACACATTGAGTGGGGAGACCGGCCCATGAGAAATAATTTCTGGGCTTGTAGAAACAGTCGAAGCAACATTCTGAACCAGATCACTTGTGTTGCTGTGTGTGGAAGTAGTTGGTCTTGCTAAGGAAGGAGGGTTTTTAGGCAAGTGCCTCATGTTAGTTATGACAATATCTGCCAGTAAATCAGGATGCATATCAGATACTAAAAGTTCAAGAGACTGAACACCCCTTTCTCCTTCAGCAATTAAAGCACCAATCATGGCAATCATTTGTTCCACAGTGGTTAAATTACTGTCTATCGATGAGCCCTTTGCAGACATTCCATTTATATATTCCTGCTCCGTATCATTTTTATCCATGGGTGGAGTTGCATGGGTATTTGGGCCATAGCGAACTCTTTTATAAGCAGTGTCACTATTATTGCTTGGATCTTCACTATCTGAAGGTTGAGACCTTTTCCTCCCCTGATCCACTGAATTAGAATGGTAATCCAACATTTGCTCGTCCTAAAAATATTAAGCTTTCCAAGTCAATTGCTAATATATACATAATATCATCCATTTAAACCAAAGAAACACTAAATCTCTTAAGACGCTTCGATCGTCTCTTCTAGGAGTATGTTACCTTGCTAAGCCTGGTGTCACGAGAAGCACGTTCATTCATTCTCATACTCTTTTCAACTTGCCGAAGAACTTGATCAGCTGCATCCCCAGCATTCATAACTCTTAATGCCTTCATTAATCTCTCTCTTGACTGGAACAAAAAATAAATAAAACCCTCAGAAGGCGTATCTTTTGATGTAAGGATTAACTGAAGCTGCGGAAGACAGATTTACAGCTTGTAATTCTTAAATCAAGAAAAGAATGTATATGAGACAGTCTCATGAGGCTTTAGTTTCCGAAATTGATATTCAATATTGCAAAGAGGATGATGGGCTCAAAACACTAACATAGTTTCTTAAAGGGCCTTTTCCTTCCGTTTCCTTCTCTGCATTTTTAAAGGGTTCTTTCTGAAAGGGAAATATGACAACCATCTCAGGAAAATTTTGCTGAAACTAGTTTAGTTTGGAAACTTTTGCCCATTTCATTTCCTGTCGATGTAAGCCTTTTTTGGTTTGAATGAGGAATTACTGGGCAAACAATTGAACTACTATCTCTTTCTTGATTCCAATAGTCCAAATAAATTGTCGAATAACACGATAAAAACTAGGAAGTATCGAAGGATTGCTCCGTTTAAAGAATATATTACCAATGAGATGGATCAGGTAAGTTCCTTAAGTCAAAAAGGCCAGGTGGGAAGCCTAATTGACAAATAAACGGGTTTAAAATTATCACAAATAGATAAGACAACAAGCAGCAGAACCAAAAAGCCAAGGACAGAGAAGCATAATAGCAGTTACCTCCAGCGCGGTTGGGTGAGTACATCTTAGAAATCCCAGAAAAGCAGTTCTAATAGAGTACTGAATACTGGCAAGATGGCCCCCCTTTGCCATCTCAAAATTAGAATCAAACTTTAGCAATGCTAAAAGAATAGGATTGTAGAGTGTAGGCCGCCTCCTCGCAATGGTTGCAAGACTGAAAAAGAAAACATCATAAAAGACCTCAATAAGAGAATGACGGACACAAAAGTTCCACAGAAGGATTCAGGGGCATCTTTTCTTTACAATTTCATCGAACAAAATGCAATAGCGGGAAACTCCACTGCAGGGAGACGAAGCATCTTTTCTTAACAAATTTATTAAACAAAATGCAATAACAAGAAATCATTAACAAACAAAATTTTGTCAACACCCGAAGCTACGTATTATGATACACAAGAAACAATCTTTTCACATGCTACTGCAAGGGCCTGAACAGAGGACCAATAAGAATAAAATTAAAAATAAACCAAGATTTACAGCATATCGCATAGCCATATATAATAAATACCGTTGGGCCGCACGTTGCTTATCAATGTAGCTTGGTGTTTAACAATTACATACAACTAACTTTTTATTATATTAGAAAAGCACATAAAATTTGGTCAAAAACAAAACTGTAACCAGAGCAAATTGTCAAGTACAACATTCTAATAACGAGTCGTTTCTTTTACAGATAGCATGAAACTATCTTCATATGAACCTGAATTGAGCGTCAGCATTATGAAATTCAATATGATTACGAAAGCCAAACAAAAGGAGTCACAAAAAACAATAAAGTAAAAGGTGAAAACAAAGTCAAACAATGTGCTGGTCAACCTATACATCATCTCATGGTAAACACATGCTAGCAGATTCCAAAATGATCACTCCAGAGCGAAAGAAAATGGAACTCTCAAAAAGATTAAAAGACTCTGAAGCAGAAATAGTTTTATGGGTGCCTATGAGCATTTCCAAAAGTTGATACCCCAGACATTCAAAATATTTGAACAGAACAAAGAACTTTACAGCTTGCAGAACATCGTTCTTGTTTTACGGGAAACTGTAAAAGTAGCACATACTAAGAACCAAGTGGGCAGAGCCAGGAATACGAGGGTACCTTCTAATTCTAGCCATAAAAACATATACGTCCTTTTCTTCATTAAAGACTCCCCTCAAACAACTCTCCCCCCCCTCCCCCCCCGGGTACACACACATCACCTCGGCCCTCTCTTTCTTAAAAAGGCAGCCACTAAACAAGTCTGCACATAACAGACCATTTGCACAAGATCAGACCATTTATTTTCATACACTTGTTACCACTTTGTGTCCAAGCAAAATCTTCTATAGATTCGGCATTTGCTATTATTAAAAATGAAATAGCTTACTTTGAAGAGGTTCCTATCTCAGCCCAATATAACAAAAAAGCATCATTTGCCCCCATTGAAATAGAAATCAAATGATAGCCAAGAAAAGGTTCATCATCTTAAAATTTAATTCATTTCACCATCCTAAAGCTGCAACCTCCTAATTCATTCAAGACATTTGTTTCGAACTTCAGCTAACCACAAAATTAACAGCTACACCATAACCATCCATGATAAGCCAGACCTAAAAATATTACAGCCTATAAGTACAGATTATCCCAAGATGAATAGATTATATAGTCGTGGAGTGGAAAAAGAGAAATGTTGGTAAGGAGCCTGGAGACCTGTAAACTGAATAGTAACACACTTAAAACCAGTTTGAACCAGCAGAGTCAAAATGGAAAGAAAATTTTAATATTTGCAAGACCAATCGGAGATTGAAACTTTGAGAGGTTAAGTACTAAAGATGTCAAATTGTGAAAAAGGAATGCTAAACATTTATCAGCCAGGCAACATGTTCACCAAAGCCTCAGGGAAATGACGTTAGAAGCATCAGGCAACATGTTCACATATATTATTCCCTTTGATTCCTGGAAAAGTATCAACTTCACTTATCCAAGAAACAAAATTTAACAAAAGTAACATAAAAGTTCATGACTAAAGGTGTCTACTATTCACTGTCTACCATCATTCACTACCAATGGTAGCAATCTATGACTAAAAGAGACTCCACAACTGTGTATTTCTGTTCCAACAATTGTTCATATGAAGAGGATTAAGTGCCTCACTACCAAAATTAATGCATCAAGGTTAAAATGGACTACTCCTCAAACAAAACTTCAGCACATTCCTCATACATATCTGGACCAAGTTACCAGATCAGACAAAAAATGCAAAACTCCAAAATACTGGCCAGTTCACTTTATCAGTCATAACCACCTTTAAACTTAGAACATAGTAGCTAAGAGAACTCTACAAGTGCAAAAATTTTCAATCTATTTCTGTTTCAATTAACCCTCTTTTGTAAGAATCCTTCCAAGATCTAAACCATTTAAACTTTCAGCCTTCACTGGGCAAACTTAAAATCGAACCACAATTTGGAACTGAAATTGAAACTTCCAGTTTCACACTCAAAATAAGCATTGATATGTTACCATCATATTCCCACCAATGATAAACAACAAAACTATAAGGTTATCACATCACAAAAGCATCTTTGCCCTGCAGATCTTTCTATTCTATTCTGCTAAATCATAGTTCTCAACCCAAACAGGTATAACCTAGTACATCTTCTCAAGGGTCCCCAGGTTACACAAATATCCAAGACAGAATCCTCCTTTGTTCCTTACACAATTAATCATGTATCGTTGGCTTGTTCACCAGCAGGAGAAACATTTTTCTGAACTGGTCAACAATTCCAATCAGTACCCTGAAGTTGTGAATTGTCACATTGCAATTGAGACTTAGTTTTGTAAGGTGGCGAAAAGCATATGAATTGGTTATAATAATGCTAACTGCATAAGGCTCCAATCTGTGTAATCAAGAGTTTGACAACCTAGATTATAAGTTTAGTTAGGGTGCAGGCAAGAGTCTTCCCTTTCTACGACGAATCCACTGTTAAGTGTTCCTCATAAATTAGATGATACCTAGAACTCGATTGACTGTTAAAGCAAACCACTAAGATTGCAGTAGAAACATGAGACGATAGTGTCCTAGCGAGACTTACAAAGTATAATGGTGCCATTAACCAGTTTCACTGAGTTAAGAAGGGATCAGTATTCATCCGGTTGGCAGAACCAGAATCAAACGAGTTCAGCTTACTGGAGAATAGTACAAGAGCGACACTCCCAGCACAGTGATGAACAACTTACTGAGAATATATATATGCTTTGAATCTTTATTAAACTGTCTCCACAAGTAGTATGTCTCTCGATGATAGGTAGTTAAACAGTCAACACCACAAGAGTTGACCACGTTTATCAGCACATCAGTAAAACTATTCCAAAACAAAAATAGCAGTATTCACAACAGCAAGTGGAAGATAATGATGCACGTGCAGAGATTTCTGGAAAAAAAAAAAAACAAAGAATAGCATATATTAATAATATCCATCCAAAAATTTGATTATTTTTTAAAGGAGCGTGCATCAGTACTAAATTAAATATAATACATTCAAAAGCCCTCACAGTACGTCAGTACCACCATAGAGCAGCTGTACACGTGTATACAGGATGAAATGATAAACCGTAGTAAAGCTATCTCAAGAAAATATACAAAGGAGTGGTTCAATTTTTGCACGAAGCACCAACACTATCAAAACGAATGAGTAGACCATTTAATCCATTCCTTAGTCAGTCCTATCATCCGACAACGTTGATGACATCAGCAAAGTCCTACTTCTGTTATCTGAACCACCAGTTCAGCAGGCCCAAGCAAAATGCCAATATCTCCGCGTTTTAAAGGCTGGAGAACTTGCTGCAATAATAACAGAACCTTTTTCCAAGCCTCCCCGCCAAAATTTCAGAAATAAACCAATTATCATGCGCATTCAAAAACATATTTACATCTTTATGTTTGAAGAACCATCATTAATTTCTGCACATGAAAAAGAGGATAAGACACCACCAATGCATCTAATGGTACATAAAGTACTATCACTTGAACAGGAGGGAAGCTTTCAAGTTGAAAATACAACAAAAGCCAGCAAAGACTGATCAAAAGGTACAAAGCCAAGAACATAGAATATGTTTCGGAAAGTTTTTTTTAAAATCACAAGCCCTTAGCTAACAAAGCATTGAGAAACACAGAACTCATATCCCAGAAGGACAAAGAAAAGGAAAGAAAGAAGCAGGTTAAGTTGTTGAGGTGAGCTTGCTGGGAGCTAGCCTTGCTCCACAATCAAACAGAGATTTGTGAACAAAGATTTTATGCGACCATTAAATAAAGTAATCCAATCAGAATGACAGACCACCATAAACATATGTGATGTGTACATAATTGAACTGTTCATATAGGTGGACTTTGTTCCATTTTTGGCATTGAAAACACACAGATCTTTGAGTGAGTCACATTGTTCAATAAATAATCTCTCCAGGACACATTCAAGCAGCATACACTATTTTTTCTGGTCAACCAAAAATAATTCCCTAAATTGATTCTCTTTCGTCAATTTTGTTCGGTATATCAAATACTAGTTTTCACCAAGTCATTAAAACATGACACTACTTGCTGATGTATAGCTATTAACCATTTAAACTTCAGTCCGTATGTCTGATAATGGAAATGTGAGGCCCGGTTATTATCTTCCTTGAAGACACACCACTAGCAAAAGTAGCATGGCACAATTGCATTCGCAAGAAATGAGATATTAACCTGCTAAATGGAAGAAGCACCAAGAAAAGGAAAAGTTTATCTCACCTATTAATAATGGAAATAGTCAACAAGCCAGGAAGATTGCTAGCTGATTGCAACAAGTCCAGCATTATCCCAAGTGATCTATTTGCATCCGACGTAAGTTCAGCCTTATTTAGGACAGGGTGATGGCCAGCCACCCATGAAATATTGAAAGCCCGATGTCTTGATATAGCTACCCGAAAAGCAAAACAAATAAATTTGCACGTCGGAAAAAATACGATTTTTGTAAGGTGTCAAAGGGAAGTAACTAAGATAGGCTATCTATATTACATACGTAATAAAAAAATTATACCACCAAAGATCAACATACAGTACCTTCTGCAGAGGATAACTCGGAGTCACTTCTATCAGATGTAAAAAGCAAAACGTTCATCTCAATAAACTTTACAGTCAGCAGCTTTACAGCTAGCGGAGCAGCCTGTATCATTATACCATAAGTGGGTTAGTTCCATACAAAAATATTTACCTCAATCGATAACAACCAACCACCCTTTATCCCACTATCTGGGGTCAGCCAAATGGATCATACGTGATCACCGTCGGTTGACACACATATTTTCAAATTTGCAATAAATATTAAGATAAAGTGTGTGCAACATTTAATTTAAATCCCGGTACTCCATTGTCCTATCTTCCTGGAGAAACTTAACTCAAAAAGAATAATGCATATACATGCATCAGCTGATTCTAAACTAGTACAAAGCTACGCACTTCCCAGATAGATTTGATAGGTTACGAGTGCACAATAGATGAGAATTGAATATATCCCTGTAACATTCATAACAGTCGATGCTAATCAAACTATCACCATATTGCTTCTACACCATACAATGGAAAGTTGGAAACTATTCAGACCTCAAAGAGAGTATCAATAACAGCATCCTTGAACTTGCTCATCCATCTCCAAAGCTCTTCAAGCCACATGTCAATATTTCCTCGCTGGTGGAACTATAATTTCCAGATCAAGAGTCAATTTATTTTACAGTTATCCAATAATCTGGTGACAGAAAATTAATAATAACAACTGTCACAACAACAATATAATCTTAGCTTTAACAGCCAATTTGATGAGAATGTAAACCTACAAAAGGTTAATTGAAAATGTTTGCAATCAAAGTCTGCGGCATTGGTGCTCCGGGAATTAACAGATTAAGAATACAAACATTCATAACTGGGGTGATCCATAAGACTACATTAACTAGACAGATAATGCTCGCAACATCAAGAATATGGATTCTCTCTACAGATTTTACCTTTTTGACAAAATCATCTACCCATAACCAAGTCCAGTGGAGAAGAAGAACAAAATAAAACAATTACCCACCATTGCTGTCTTACATTTTTATAACACTTAAGATTGGAGAGAAAGTTAACATTCATTACTTCTACAGAAAGAAAGACATAACAGATACAGTAGGCAGTATAGAACAAGAACTCTTTTAGGCAATATTCCAAAGAAGCTCAAAGAACACAAACCTGTAATGCTAACTCTTCCAACACCCTGGAGAAGATGCTTGTCCCAGTTACTATGGATTGCCTAGCGACCATAGGACTCTCGTCATTCAAAAGTTTTAACAAAACTGGCACAAATATGGAGAACTGTTCCAAAGCTCTCAAGCCTAGGTCCTCAATTGCACTACAAAAAGTATATACCAAAATTATAATTAGAAGAAAACAAACCAGGGAAAAAATTTTAATTAATTAAAAAGAAAAAGGAAAAAAAGAGCCACAAACTCATAACCCTCATTGTGCTCGGAGAGGAGCTTGGGGTGTGCATCAGATGGGAAGCAACTATATTCCCCGCAGAGAATACAAGTAAATATTCCTCAAAGAACTAAAAGAAATTACTATTGGAAAAGCATTTATTTTAAGACTGAAGCGAGCGATTGAAAGTTGACATAACTTGTCAACAATGACTTAAAAGGAGTTAAATTTGGAACATAACCCAACAAACCAGAAAAGTAATGTTTCTAACACCAGAATTTGACTAAAACTTCCCATGCAGTTCACCATATAATCTGCTACATCTACAGAAACCTTTTCTTTCTTTTGGAATTGTACCTTATTATTCAAGAATAGAAAGGATGACATCTACAGTAACCTGATTTTGAGATTCCAAGTTCAGTGCTACTGCCACAAATTAAGTCTTACAATGCCCATAACTAAACAGGTTTCGTATCGTTACAGCTCCTTCTAGCCCTAAAGCACAAATAAAAAGTCTTCTTTTCAATGGACAACTGCACGTTTCAGTTTATTACAGCTCAAATGCAACAAAATGCAAGCATCACATTCAATTAACTAAATTTCCTTTAACGACAAACTGAAAAGGGATTATTTCAACTCTAGACTTCCTCAATCAAAATTCGGTGGGCAATCCGCCCTTCTTTTACAAAAAGTGAGCATAAAAAACTTGGGTCATAGACAATGCCTGCGCATTATTAGAACACTGAAAGCACAAAGATACAAACAAATTCATAAAAAAGAAAACGCAGTAGAAACTAGGCAGCTGAAAACAGATACAATTTGAAGCTAACAACATATCCGAGGGAATAATAATGACACATTACAAGACTTACTCAAGGAGCGCTTTTCGAACGAGACTTTCAGGGGAAGACTGAAGCTCGACCAAATAAGGAAACAATTCGGCCGCTTGATACGGTTCTGCCGCCAATAAGATATCCTTGGCCTGCTTTAAAGAAGAAAGCTTCACCGCCAAATCACCGTGGTTGTTCGCGGAGGCAAGTAAAGAGAGCGCTTGCTCCCGCGGCGGAGCCGCCATTCCGAAGCCAAAATCAATTCCACACTCTTCCGAAAACAAACACAATGAAGCTCTAGGGTTTTAAATTCGGCGAAATTGGGAAACCAGTGAAACAATTTGGAGTTACGAAGAATCGACGGACGGGGGCACAATTCACAAAGGCGACGCCGGTGGTAGCGCGCCGGAGTTTGTGTGTTAAGAGGAGAAGTAAAATTGTTAAAATGAAAAGGCAGAAAAAACTACAAAAATTGAAAAATTGGAAGAAAGTCATAAATGGTTGAGGAAGCTGGTGGCATGAGAGGATTATAGTGAATATTCAAGTGGATTGGGCCGTTCATTCACTATTGGTCTTTTGAAGTTTACTGATGCATGGGCATCCGTGTAAACCTGGATGTTGTACGGGCCAGAATATACTGGACCAAGGTACACAGTTATGATGAATTTATGCAAAACGTTTATTTTCTTTAGACGAAATTATAAGTCAAGATTTAATGACTTTATGGGTGTGTTCGGCTACATGTTTTTGGGATTCAATTGGCATTAGAATATTTTGGGATTCAATTGGCATTCAAGATATTTTAATTCAATGCCAATTTATCCGTTCGGCAAAATCATGGAATTGGTCACAAATTCAAGATTCCAAATTCTCTGTTCGTATAGTCTAGTAATTGGGTTGGTTTTGGCTTTTACTTATTTTTTACAAAAATAAAGAAAAAATAAAAAATTGATTTATTTTGAAATTAGTTCAACTTTTAATTTTTGTTAAATTAAGTCATTTCTAAAATAATATATAAATATGTAAAACGAATAATATTAAGACAAACAATGTGAGAATATTATGTTAGATAATCTACTTTATTTAATTAAAATACACTTTATAAATCGAGCATGATATGCACTTGGCTATGACTTTAGTCCACAAAACTGGAGGAAGATTAACATAAAAAAAATGACTAACAAAAGGAAGGCTTGACTGATCTGCACAAAACCTAGTTAACCTATTAATGCAGGCACTTCAAAACTAAAGTACACTTGTAAAAGCAAAACAGGGAATTTCTCATTCAATAGTCAATGAAACAACTCTACTCAATTTTCACGACTTAAATCTAAGTTGGTTTAAGGTACAATAAGAATTGAAGGTTCTGGCAACGGGCATTGAATTGGACGATCATTGTCTAGCGGCTCAATTGGATGTTCAACTGGCTTAAACTCAACTTCAACTTCAATCCCATGAGCGGTAGCTGAGGTGGCTCCTGTAAGGGTAACTGCAGTAGTTCCCTCATAAGCAGGGGGCAATACTTCCCTTTCATCCTGCAAAAAGCAAAAATCATTAGAACATGATAGTGTTACCAAAGTACAAACCAAGAATGTTGATTGACAAAAGAACCAAAAAGGAAAGTAGCTGAGCAAAAATGAAAAGATTCAGTCTTTAACACAACCCAATTTCTACTCATAACCTCAGCTACCAACCAATACTCCAACATCATTAAATCAAACAAAAATTACTCAGATGAAATATTGATCTCCAACTTAATCAAACAGATAAACATCGTTACGAGGACCAAATATTTAGTTTTCATCATTAAGAAAATGAACTGGCTCAATCAATACTTCAATTCTCATCACAACTACAACAAAAATGATGATTTAAGACACATGAATCAAAAACCGTAGAGAAGTTCAATATAAAATAAATTTCGCTTAACGCATTAATTTTTCTCAAATCCAGTGATATCAGTCAACAAGAACCGAAGAATTCTAAAAGTAATGCACAAAGATAAAGAAATTTCAAACCTACTCGTGAAATTCACTTTTTCAAGGCAAAATTTCAATAAAAAAACAATCAAGATAGAGACCTTCTTTCATCATATGGATGCAATATAATCACCATTGATAGAACATCAATACTTGCCAAATCAAGCGACAGCATGTCTGTAAACGCACATCTAACTTCAACACTTGCCAAAAAGCAAACCACAGATTGGACTGCATTAGCAGTATTTCAACTTAAAAATCAAATTCAGACATCACAATCAGCCATAGAGGCTTCAAGAAACCAAACAAAAAAAAACCCACTTGAGAAAAACAAATAAAGGAGAGTAAACAAAGAGAGAAGGTAATCTCACAAGGGCACTCTGAGACCGACGATGACTAACTTTATTGACAGAAAATCTGGAGAAAATGCCAACCATTTTCTATGTTGGAAGTTCTTGACTTCCCCTAATTAAATCAGCAGCTCAAATCAAAAGGGTTCAATTCAATTATATCCTATTCTATTCTTATCAGAGAAATGGTTCTGTTGGAATTAAAAAATCATTGAAAAAGGGGGAAAGTGGACGAATGGAAGACGTGAGATGGTAACTTGGGTTGCTGGGTTTCTGGTGGGCTGGATTCTCTTTCTGTCACAACAACAGTGGATCCATTAATTTTATGTATTTGAAGTGCTAAATCTAATCAGAACTTCATAAAATGAATTGAAATAATGCTGTAAAATGCAGTAACTCAGATTGGATCAACTAGAAAAGGTGAAAGAATATTACCTGAACAATCAGTTTTCTTTGTCAAGTTTGGCCATAAGCCATTTGTATTTCAACTCAACTGGCAATCCCACAAATGTGTTAAACATTACTCGATTGAGCATCATCATATCCACAGCCTTGATTTTCTGCATGTCATCCAAATCAATTTCCTTCAATTCTGACAAAATTTGTTGAGGGGTGATCTTTGTTTTTTGCGCTATCACAAGTTCAGTCTTTTTTCTTTCCCCCAACATGTAGTCACTAAACTTAGCAGCCATTTGCGTCATATAATCAGGAGCTTGCGTTGATGTTGGTTTTTTTCTCGAGCCTTGAGAACAAGCAGAAGATGTGCCTTCCTTTCGCTTTTGTCGGGCCAACAAAAGTCTCATAGCTTCGGATTGATTATGAATCTCTTCAGATGGATCTCCTATGTTGAAAGAGTTGACCTCATTCTCTGCATTATTCTCTTCAAAAGTTGCTGCCCCTTGGCCATTGGCACGGTCTTGCGAGAAAATTGCACAAATATCATCCCAATTTTCAATCACAATATTGCTCCTATAAGGAGCAAGTTGGGGGTTGGCCTATATAACAAAAACTGTACATCAATACAGAGAAGTAAATACATTTCAAACGCTCTAATACATATATACCACTATTGAAGGACATTCATCAATGACATTCCTACAAAATTCCATTTCATTTCCAGAAAATAATAGATGCCCCCTCTTTTCTCCTAATAAAACCACACGTCACCACACCACCAGTGGAAGAAGCAACAACAAAGATTCAATCTTGAACCACCAACAACAACTACTAACACAAAAACCCTAATCACAACATTATCCCTGCACCAAAAGGGTATCCATTTCTATTAACATAGAGAAAAAAAAAATGAACCACAAGGGTAGCAGCCAGCTACAAAGAAGCTTAACCAACAAAACAAATTAAAAAACAATTAAATAAACCCAGCTGACAACACATTCCAGCATCCAAAATAAAACATAGCAAAACAAAATTTTAAAAAAATCCCAACAGAAAAACAAGAAAAACAGAAAACATAAAGAGTAGCAAGACTCCTGCACCAACTTTTGACACATTTACATCACACAAAATGCATAAATGGGAGGAAAAAATACCTGCAGTCGCTCATTCCAAACATTTTCATCGTGGATCGCAATTCTGCCCTTCACGTAGTCCCATGTGATTGGAGAGCCGGAATTGCTGGAGACCAATAACGGATACAAGATCTCATGGTGCTTCGCCCATGTCTTCAAACGAGATTGGACTTTGCTCTTGTCTACATTAACTTTTAGATGAACATAAAGTGCATTTATAGCTGCTGTCCATGAGGAGGACTTCCAAGCCAATTTCCCGTCACATTTGTTTCCTTGAGCCATTTGATCTATAAAACATGTCCCAAGAATCTTATCCATCTCGGGAGTCCAAGTGAAATAGTTTCCTTTTCCTTTTTCTTTCACTTGAGAGCCTTGCTTGTGAATTAGAAGCCATCTATAAAGTCCTCCTAAACCTAAAAAAATAAGAACAATGAAGTGAAAAAAATGAAGTGGCTACAGCAACTTACAAAAAAGTCTGACTGTTAAATACCAAAGTATTAGTGTCTTTTGAGCTCTAAAAGCTCCCCAGCCAGAAAAACAATGAATTATTAAATGGAAACACATTTAATAATGAAGTGATACCAAGATCTTATGGCCCTCATGTTGCACAGAAAAGAAGATGCAGATTTAAGTAGATGTGCAAGTAATAAAAAGATAATATCCAAATGAAAACACACAATATTAACAACAAAAAGGGGCAGTTTTTGGAGTACCCTTTTTAGGCCTTTTCTGTTCCTGTTGTTTTTTTCCTTGTGGAAAGCAAGATTTTTCAAGTTTCAATCAATGGCAGGAATCATCAATGAAAACAACATCCCAATAGCTAGCATTGGTTCTTCTCTATCACAACTCATCTTAACAGGGGGTTCCAACACCATGGATTCCATCTTCACTTATTGCCAACAACAACAACAACAAAATCCCATGTCAGAATATGTTCTTCTTGAACAACCATTAGGCTCATCAGTCTACTTCAGACAGAGAGATTTGCTCCAGAGATTCCATAAATAGAACACGGGGAACTCATCAGCATCTTGTTCTTCTATCCTAAGAATACAGAGGGGTGAGGCAGAGGCATTGGGGGAAATGGGTAGCTGAGATAAGACTGCCACAAAACAGGATGAGAGTTTGGCTTGGAACTTATGATACAGCAGAGGCTGCTGCTTATGCTTATGACAGAGCATCTTATAAGCTTCATAGGGAATATGCAAAGTTGAATTTCCCTGATGTTAAGGATCCAAACAAGCTGGGTTATTTTGCAGATGTTTCGAAATTGAATGCCCTGAAAAATGTTGTGGATGCTAAGATTCAAGCCATTTTTCAAAAGGTTAAAAGAGAGAGAGCCAATAAAAGGGCCAAGAAAAAAAGGTTATACGGGACGTCCAGTTCAAGAATAACTGGTCATGGTTGATTACAGATTAGGTCCGTATTATATGGGTTTTTATTTTGATTTTCTACATGTTTATGATAAATAAGAATACTATTTCTCTTCCTGTGAACATGAATAGTATCTGAATTTTGTTGAACGTATGAGAAGACACAACGATGTCTAGGTTGCTCGATGATACATTGACATGAGAAGATAGTTACGGAAACAAATCGCGCAGCTGTGTTGCAAGTTTAACAAAAATTTCTGATTTAGTAAATAAATGCCATTGATCAACCAAAATCTTGTTTGAGCCCTAAAGTTCTCCGGGTTCTCTATAATGCGGGAGATTCGGTTGAAACAAAACCTTGTTTGCAGGGGTGTATAGGAAAAAGTGTGA